CTTAGCCATTCCTTCGGCTTTGGCTTAATCTTTCTCGACACAGTTTTCTCCTTTGTAACACAGAGTTACCTCAGTTTAGAGGATCTGTAAGATCTGTTCTGATCTGCAGTTGCCCTGACCCTTGTGTATTGTGCTGCATGAAAGAGCTTCTCTCTTTCAGGAACAATCCAACCAATTGCACAAGAGACTGGCCAGTGGTACTGAACCAGCAGTTTTTTTTCCTTAAACCCCTTTGCAAATAATTTTTCAGTGAAAGGCTCAGGGAGGAAACCCCTTGGCAAGGTCCTAAACCATGACTGGAAAACAAGCACAGTGACTTGCTGTATGACGTCCTGGGAGCCAGGAAGGAGCCTCGTACCCACTAGATAGCTCGTCTTAGAACCATAAAATCTGAGGATTGCAAGCAACCTCAGAGGTCATCGGTTGCTGACTCTCCCATGTACATTTGTAGTATGCATGTAGTGTAAGGAAGTCAGTGAGAATGAACCAAGGTCTGTACATCTACCTCATCATCACAGGGGGGCCATGTCAGAACCCAAGTTCAAGAGTTCTTGCCTCTGTTTTATCCTCAAAACCCATTATGTTCAATGGAATAACCACATTTTACTCTCTTTGGATAAATAACATACTTAAGAAATTATTTATTGGGTGGGTACCGCTCGAGTGGGTACCTCTACCCAGACAGCTGATTGGTGCTCTTCGTTGCAAGCACAACGTGACGTATAGTCTGCGGTTAGGAACCTGGCTCTCGCGAAGCATGAACCAAAAAACAAACGAAGAATATTTTAAGATAGCAAGCCCAAGGTAACAATGTTAACTTTAAAAATTTTCTCAGGAGAAAAAAAAAATAATAACTGCTTTCTAAGAAAAATTGTGAGCATTAAGTTGCTGAAGAGACCCAAGTTTGCCCCTCTTACATGACCGTCAATGAGAATGCTGTTGTAAGTCAGGGAGCTGTGTTTCAGGTACGGAAAGACAAGAACTTTGGTTTGACTTTGCGGATTCCATTGTTGGAGGGAGTGTTGCAGGCATCTGTGGAATGTTACATTCCATCCAGGAAATAAGTCACTTGTCATCAATATGACCTTCCAGTTAATTAATGTTACAAATCCACTTTTGCTGCTAGGCCACATTATCTGAGTTGATAGAGAGTTTCCATTTTAAAGGCCCCCACAGAGGATGATCATTGGGGTTACATTTATAATAAAGCTAAAATCTAACGTTCAGAATTAATGAGGAAGCTTTGAACCCCTAACGGGGGAGAAGGCACAGCAGCCATTCAGAAGTGTATGCTGCCATCTGCTGGCCAGAATGGAAGACTACAGTCAACACTGGGGAGCTCCGTATTGTCACCCTCAGGAAAACTCCTAAGACCATCAAAATCCTAGAGGAGAACATAGGCAATAACCTCTTTGACATCGCCCACAGCAACTTCTTTCAAGATACATCTCCAAAAACTAGTGAAACAAAAGCAAAAATGAACTTTTGGGACTTTATCAAGATAAAAACCTTCTGCACAGCAAAGGGAACAGTCAACAAAACAAAGAGGCAACCCACAGAATGGGAGAAGATATTTGCAAATGACACTACAGATAAAGGTCTGGTATCCAAGATCTATAAAGAACTTCTCAAACTCAACACCCAAAAAGCAAATAATCAAGTCAAAAAATGGGCAGAAGACATGAACAGACACTTCTCTGAAGAAGACATACAAATGGCTAACAGACCCATGAAAAAATGTTCATCATCATTAGCCATCAGGGAAATCCAAATCAAAACCACATTGAGAGACCACCTTACACCAGTTAGAATGGCAAAAATGGACAGGGAAAGAAACAACAAATGTTGGAGAGGTTGTGGAGAAAGGGGAACCCTCTTACACTGTTGGTGGGAATGCAAGTTGGTACAGCCACTTCGGAAAACAGTGTGGAGTTTCCTCAAAAATTTAAAATTAGAGCTACCCTATGACCCAGCAATTGCACTCCTGGGTATTTACCCCAAAGACACAGATGTAATGAAAAGAAGGGCCACATGCACCCCAATGTTCATAGCAGCAATGTCCGCAATACCCAAACTGTGGAAAGAGCCGAGATGCCCTTCAACAGATGAATGGATAAAGAAGATGGGGTCCATATATACAATGGAATATTACTCAGCCATCAGAAAGGATGAATACCCAACTTTTACATCAACATGGATGGGACCGGAGGAGATCATGCTAAGTGAAATAAGTCAAGCAGAGAAAGTCAATTATCATATGGTTTCACTTATTTGTGGAACATAAGGAATAGCATGGAGGGTGCCTTGTTCCACTTATTTGTGGAACATAAGGAATAGCATGGAGGACATTAGGAGAAGGAAGGGAAAAATGGGGGGGCAATTGGAGGGAGAGACGAACCATGAGAGACTATGGACTCTGAGAAACAAACAGGGTTTTAGAGGGGAGGGGGGAGGGAGGATTGGTTAGCCTGGTGATGGGTATTAAGGAGGGCATGTACCGCATGGAGTACTGGGTGTTATACGAAAACAATGGATCGTGGATCACCACATCAAAATCTAATGATGTATGGTGACTAATATAACATAATAAAATTAAAAAAAAAAAAAAAAAGACCATTCTTCCAGTGATACGGATGCAAATTCTCAGAGCCGAAGGACCTAAACAAAGAGAATGGTCCATTCACAGAGAAAAGTATGAAGGTGGAATTTCCTCAACTGGGTCAAAAGGCTAAAAGGAAGAATTCTTTACATTTTATTAATTTTTTTCTGTGGTATCTTTAAAGTTTGGAATTTTGGCCTAATAGCTTAATATAAATACAGAAATTCTAGGTAGCAGGACAAGAGACCTCCAAGAGTCTAGTGGACCATGGTGTAAAATATATAGTAACTTCTCTGGGCCTCAGTTTTCTCATCTGTAAAACCCAAACTTACTAACCTCTCATCAAGCTCTTCAAGTCTGCACGGGTCTTGTTATCCTTTCTGGGCAATGACAGCAATGCCACTGAGTTGTGGGAAAGATCAGCACGGAGACTAGTCCGGATGCTGCTTCTCAGATTCAAACTGACGTTCAAAGGCACATTGCACTTGACTTAGATCAACTTCGAAAATAGCCATGTCCTTGATGGTCAGTGCTGAAGCCAAAAGCAAAAGTGAAGGTCTGTGCGATGCCCTAAGAGAGGAACTGATAGCTCCGCTCCTTTCCTGCCCCGGAACACAGCTCCCCACTCTCTTGGAGTTCCATTTCACCACCGCTTTGTCCCCATGCTAGCAGGATTAGCAAACCCCTCTGAGAAGTGGAGGCAGAAGAGTTGGTCTTACACAAACACCCATGTGCACACACAATGGTTACGGTTATAATTATTTTTCTATATAATGAAACTTATTAAAAATGATAATGACCCGGGGCGCCTGGGTGGCACAGCAGTTAAGCTTCTGACTCTTGGTTTCGGCTCAGGTCATGATCTTGGGATGCCGGGGTGGAGCCCCACCTGGGGCTCCGTGCTCAGCGGGGAGTCTGCTTCTCTGCCTGTCTCCCCTCTGCCTCTGCCCCTCCCCCCACTTGCCCTTGGCGTGCTCTCCCTCTCTCTCTCAAATAAATAAATAAATCTTTTTAAAAAAATGACAAAGACCCGTGAAAATTCATGTGGCACAAATCTTAGAATCTAGATTTGGTTGCCTGCCCCTCGCCTTGTAGCCATAAGACTTCTGGCTGAACAGGAAAGCTTGCTCTTATTTATTTCCTTCAACAAGTATTTCCACCTCTGGACCAGAATACTGATCATGCACCAGGCATGTGCTAAGCACTGGGGGTCTTCAGCAGTGAGTGACAGACATGGTCCCCACCGTAATGGAGCACACAGTCTATCAGAGACAGCCACACACAACAGAAATTACAAGGGCAACGAGGATTTAAAAAGAGGGGCCCAGGGTGATCTGATGACCAGGGACCAGTGTCTCTCTCTCCCTCCTCTTCATTCCTGCCAGTATCACTGCTCTCTCTGACTGTGAGCTCCTGGAAGGCCCGGATCCTAGTGCAGCACCTCAAGCCGTTGCCAATTGAGAATAAACAGAATATTCCTTCTCTGGGCCATCCCTCCAGAGGCCAAAATGGCCAGTTTGGGTAGGAGAAGGCAATTAAGAATGGGTGAAATCCTGAATTCCTGGTAACAGAAATACCCCGCGGTCTGACTGGGAGTCACAGAGCATTAATTCTGTGACATAAGAATTACATCAGGTGAGGTCCCTTATCTGATAAATGGAGAGACAATTCGGGTTTCTTGTGGGGAAGGAGACATGCTGTATGCGAAGGCTTTCAAAAGCTAAAAAAGCAGAAGAGAAAATTATTATTGATAATATAGTAAGAAGTGCTTATGATAAATCATGTCACAGGTTTCTTAAATCCTTTCAAAATTTAGTCCATTTAAAAGTACCCCTGTTCCTTATGAGGTCAAGCCCTGCGTTGGGCTATGCGCTCATCGGGGAAACAGGGAGTCTGCCTGAGAGTCTCTCTCCCTCTCCCTCTGCCCCTCATCTCTCTCACTCTCTCTCAAAATAAATAAATAAAATCTTTAAAAAATAATAAAATAGGGGCACCTGGGTGGCTCAGTTGGTTAAGCGGCTGCCTTCGGCTCAGGTCATGATCCCAGGGTCCTGGGATCGAGCCCCACGTCGGGCTCCCTGCTCAGTGGAGAGTCTGCTGCTTCCTCTCCCTCTGCCTGCGTCTCTGCCTACTTGTGCTCTCTATCTCTCTGTCAAATAAATAAATAACATCTTAAAAAAATAAAAATAAAATAAAAATATTTTAAAAAATAATAATAATAAAATAAAAAATAAAATAAAAATTAAAAAATAAAAGGTACCCCTAGTCCTAATCCTAAAATTGCTACCAGCAATTTTCCACCATCTCAGGAAATCACATACATTGTTAAGTTTTTAAAAAAAAAATTCGGAAGATGCTAATAAATAGTTTATAAATGGTCTTTGAAATTACTTTTTTCTAGCATCCCCAAATTCAAAAGGAGTCCCAGTATATCAAATATCTCTGCTGTGACGACGCGAGAACCCTAAACCAGTGGGTCATGGGAATAAGGATTGCCAAGGTGAGAGAGCATGTGGACTCACCCTGTCTTGAGTTGTATACCAGCATCCTGGCCTGGGTGCAGTCTCTGTGCTACTTGGAAATGGCTGACCCATCCTTAGTGGGTCAGCGCTATGATACCATCTTAACTTTCTTGCCCATGGGGTTTTTTTAATAGGTGAGAGTGATGGAAACACAGACCTCTCCAACGACCTGAGAATCAAGGGTTTACTCTCCCACGAGGCTTCTCAGATCTTTATTTACTTGTTGAGAGCTTAAGTTGAGAAACACAACACATAACCTGTGGTAGATTTACATGAAGACCTACGGTGATCAGAAGTGGGTGGCGAAAGCCCTCCTCTAACATCTGGGTAAAAGTATTAACTGACTGTGCTAATCTGGAAAATCACTTAACACATGAAAATAATCTATGGATTTTTTTTATTGAAATACACTAAGAAAACTCAGGAAAGAAGTAAAAAGTAGCTATAAAGTACTTTTTTCCTTCTATATATATATTGCAATTGGGTGCAGGATTTGGGATAAATGGATTTCTTTCTTGCTTCTTTTGTGTTCTCTCCCCAGTATGGAAAGACTCTCTACGATAACTATCAGCGGGCTATGGCGAGAGCCGGGCTCGCCTCCCGGTGGACAAACCTGGGCACTGTGAGCGCGGGACCACCAGCTCCACCGGCCCCACCTGCTACAGGTACCGTGCAAAGAAGAAATCCTGACACTTGCTCAAAGCTTAGAGCTCATGTTCAAACATAGCCAACACATTTTATAAATGTTGGCTCAAGATCTCTACACCCACCTGTATCTATTTCTTTGTAAGTGATTCTTAGCAAAGCTTCAACCACTTTTCTCATGATATGCTTGTGGATGAGATGGGGACCACCAGTGTAGGGTGAACTAGAAGAATACTGTGTCTCATCAGAATAGAAAGGTGATATTTGTCCAAAGCTTCGTTAGCACCCAGCAGACAGCCCACGAAAAGGACGAGATCAATCCCCAATGTTTTGCCTCATGGTATCATGGCCAGAGCCTTGTACCCAATCCTGGACATCACATTCTATGGTAACATAACAGCTTCTTGTTTGTATTTTGAGGAGGACAGAATTTTGAGAGATGAAGTGTGTGCAAGGCATCATTTTACATAGACTATTTCTGGTTCTTACACCAACCCTGCAAAGTATAGATCATTACCCGCACTCCACAGTTGAAGATATTCTGAAGCTGGTATAAGTGCCTAGTGTCTTCTCCGTGGCTGCGCTGTAATTCAAACACCTTGTCTTTATGATAAATAATGGTTGAAAGAACTGGAACCATTTACAGCAGGAAAGTTCTGGTCATTGTCCTTCAGTGCTAGAGAATGGTCATATCAAAGCCAGTATATGTATTCTTTGCTGCTCAAAGGGTAAAAGCAGCTTGAAAGTGTAGAAGGTGCAATACGGCAGATTTGACCCAACACCTAAAGATATTTTCACTGGATGTGTCCAGATTGGCTGCTCTGTGTAGAGTGAGTTTCTGGAAGTGTTTATGCTGAATAAAACTGTTTTCTGCAGAGCACTTACCATGATTTGTAATTATTTTATGTATCCATGAACGTGTCTGGTGCCTGTTTTCTCCACTGGACTCTAAGTCTCCAAAGGACAACAGACCATTTCACCAGGTTGCACATTATGTTCCCAGAGTTTACAAGCCTGGCATATAGTAAATATTTATTGAGTTACTAAATAAAGGGTTGCTGGGGTTGGTTGGGAGTTGGGTTTCCTAATTCTATCAGTCTTCATCTTGGGAGTGAAACACCACTTGTAGTTCTTGGCTGTCAAGTTTCCCCTTCCCAAGATGGGGTCACTCTTTGGGATGAGGCACCCTGAGACCATCTGGGGCATCTCTCCCAGGAGCACCAGCCGCTATTCCAGTAAAGGCTCCTGGGCTATTTCTGAGGCAGATCCTGTGGCCTTAGGTCTTACTCACTGAGGGTGAGCCCATAAGGCTGTAAGTCCTTTGATTTGAGGGAACGCTAAGATGCCTTTGCTTTCCAGACAGCCAAAGAATTTTTTCTTCTGAACACTTTTCTCTGAAATTGGGATCACTGACTTTAGCAAATAGCTCTGTCTCTTACCAACTAATTGTTCTAGTTAATTTTCACAAGCATTGGCATATCAGCCATTTCCCAGAATGAAGCAGCTAGTGTATTGTATATCATCCTGTCACCCAGACAGGTTTCTTAGCCTGGTTCTGGCTGAGTGAGGTATCCGTCAGCAAGTTGGGTTTTGTGGTCAGCAGCCAGGAAGAGCCATATCCAATCAGATGCTCAGGGGATCATCTTGGGCATCAGCTGTATTTATTCAGATCATTCAGATCACAGACTATCTCTGTGGTTCAGTAAGAAATATATCTGAAACACTACCTCAAAAACTAATGATGTAATGTATGGTGATTAACATAACATAATAAAATTAAATTTAAAAAATTTTTTTAAAAAAGAAATATATCTGGTCTTTGGCCTCAATTCCTGACAAAGCTTCAAGAGCCCAAGGAATTTCCTGAGCCATCGTGTCTTTCTTAGGCTAATGAGATGACTCATGGTGGACCCCCTGGTAGCTTTAGGATGGGGGCTGCTCACCAAAAAGACCAAGCAAGTGATTCCACCACAGAGCTCTGGACATCACCCACAACTGGGCCCTTAATACTGCCTATTGATCTTACTACAGTTCTCTAGACTAGCGGTTCTCAGCTGAGGGTGACCTTGCCCCTTAGGGAAGATTTGGCAATGTTTAGAAACAATTTTGGTTATCACACCTTAGGGGAAATGCTTATGATATCTAATGGGTAGAGGCTAAGGATGCTGCCTGTCCTAAAATGCATAGGACAGCCCCCCACACAACAAAAAATTTTCTAGTCCCAGATGCCAATAATGTTGAGAAAACCTGTTCCTGTCAATGTAATTCCTAGTTTCTCTCATTGTCTCAAATGTTCTTCACTCTCCTCAGACTTCCAACCCCCAAATCCTTCACTCTCAGCAGAGAAAATGGAACCATCAAATGGGAACTCCTTTGACTTCCCACCACAAAACCCAACAACTTCCCTGCATCTGTACCCGTCCTAGCTTGCGTCCATTATGTTACTTCCTAACAAGAGCCAGTCCTTCCATGCATGCTCTGGTCCCCTATTCCAACACCGGCTGATCTTCTGCAGTATCACTCTGATGCCCACCACTGGAATTAGCTCAGACTCCACAGGCCAAGGGCAACATCCTCAACAAGGCTGCCTTTCTTCCAATGCCAGCCACACTTCTGACCTACTGGTTACAATTTTAGGGGTTCCCACTACCCCTTCAGCTTCAACAGTTCACTAGAATGACTCACAGAACTCAGGAAAGTGCTATCCTTATTATTATAATGTTATTATAAAGGATACATATCAGGACCAGCCAAGGTCTTGGAGGGTCCTGGCTGCAGAGCTTCTTTGTCCTCTCATGGACCACATGATTGATTTCAGTGCCCTCCCCAGAAGTTGGGTTAGCTCAAAGCCCCCAACCCTCTAATCACCTGTTAGTGTTTCTGATAGCCAACCCGCATCCCAAGCCATCTTGTTAGCATAAACCCAGATGTGATCCTAGGGGTTCATTGAATAGCAAAGACATTCCAATCACTTTGGAAATACCCAGGTTTTAGAAGTTCTGTGCCAGGAACTCAGGACAAAGATTAGACAGATTATACCATCCTCTTCTACTTTCTCTTCTGCTCTACTGGGTCCTTCTCATCAACACTGCTCCCTTCTTCAAGCAAGTAAGTTTTAAAACCCTCCTATGACTCCACATCTCCCTCCAGCTACTGCCCCCCACCCCCGCCACCACCAAACTATTCTAAAGGGTGGACCACATATGCTGCCTCCACTTTTCTACCCTCACTCACTCTTCGACCCATTTCAGGCAAGCTTCTGCTTCTAATACCCCATGGAGAAGGCTCTTGCTAATCCCACCAGTGGCCTCTATGCTGCTAAATGCAAGTATTATAAACTTATCTTCTTATCTGACCTTTCAGCAGCATCAACAGGATTGACCTTTCCTCCCTGAAACAGTCTCCTCTATTGGCTTTCCAGATAGCACACACTCCAGATCTTCCATCTCACCCCCAACTTCCCCCGCCACTCTTTTCTAACCTCCTCTACTAACTCTTCTTCTACCTTAAATTATCCACAACTCAGTCCATCCTAACCCTGTTCTCTTGTTACACTGTCTCTCTAAGTGGTCTAAATCCACTCCTGGCACCATCTTTGTGCTGACCACCCACAAATATATAAATCCAACCCAGACTTCTCTGTTGACCTCCAAAACCATGTATCCAACTGTCTGCTCAATGGCTCCACTTGGATACATCAGACTCAACATCTGTAAAACTGACTCATCATATTACCCTCCAGACCTGCTCTTCCATTGTTGTTCTCGAGTTTCTGTAAATAATAATCATCTGCCCAGTTGCTTATGCAGGACACATGCAAGAAAAGTTCACTCATGCCCAAATCCAATCACCCCCAAATCCTGTTGATTCTACCTTCTAAATATCGGTCAAATCTGTCCAGGTCTGTTCATCTCCATCCCCATCAAACCTAAGCTGCCGTGATCTTTCACTTGGCCTCCCATGGTAGTGGTGTACCAGCTCAACTCCCTACATTTGCAGACTTCTCTCCCGCCCTGAGTCACCTTTCTAAACGTAAATGTGATTTCTCCCCTGCCGGTAGCGTTTCAGAAGCTTCCCACTGCCCTTTATCTAGATAAGTCCCAAATCCTTAGCAAGGCCAACCAAGCCTGCATATCAAGAGCCTCGCCCAGCTGTGCTGCCTCTTTCCACCCCTGTGTTTTCCTGTTCCTGGCTCATGGGCCACTTGTTTTTCCTAGTTCTTCAAAGCCCCAGACACCATCGTTTCTTAGGGACTTCGGATGCTGTTCCCTCTGTGATATTTTTTCTTTCATGTGGCTAATTCCTTCCTATCCTCAGGTCTACAGTGAATTATCCTTTACTAGCCAGGCATAATTAATAATCTGTTTGATTAGTTTAGAACTGTTTTCTCCTCTAGACACTGAAGGAAATCATGAGGTGTTTCTGCTATGATTTCCCAACTGAAAAAAAACATGGAGAGCCATTGTTCTGTATCCAAAGTGCTTAACAAGTGATTTATTCTTGATAAATGACAGCTTTTTTCTTTTTCATATTAGAGAACAGCCATAGAGGGTTTCTTTTTTTTTTTTTTTTAGCACTTATTAAATCACTTTGACTTTAGCAACTGTTTTTAGTCAGGACTCTTCACATGGTAATTGACAAATCCAACTCAGTCTGGTTTAAGCAACAAAGAATGAGGGGGAGAGATTTATTAATGCACCAAAATAGGAGGTCCAGGGGTATGCTGCTTTCAGGCACAGCAGGATCCAGGAGTGTAAGTGATGTCATCAAGATACGGTTTCTTTCTTAGGCACTGTCTCCATAAGGTGGCAAGGACTGCCAGTGATTCTCTGGGCTTACATTGTTCACACAGCTATAAATATTAGTATAAATAGAACGCCCCATCTCTGAAAAACAGAGCCCCATCTCTGGGAGGGCTGTTTCGTGCCCATTCCTATCGATCTCACTGTGCCCATGAGGTTGCTGCCCTCTGACGTGCCAGGTCAAGTGGGAGGATTGGCCTTTCACAAACCACGTGAGTTAAGAATGAGGGACATGGCATTTGGTCCAATTTTCAGAATGCACTTGAGTCCTGTAAAGCATTTGGGGCTCGTATTTGTTTAATCAACTTCCAACCCCTAATTCCTCTAAGAACTCCTAAAGAGGCAGAGAGAAAGACTATATTGCTACTTGACAGCAAGGACTGTTAATACAGTGAACCCAGACAACCTAGATCCCAAGTCAGTGACACCTACAGAATATATGGGTTATGTGGGTACCCATGGGTTGTCCCAGGATGGGGCAGAGAGCCCATAGAAAAGATTGGATTTCCTGGTACATGGGAAGACAGCAGCTTAGAGCATTTGGGATATTATTATTATTCGTTTGTTCTCACAGACAGATTAAAGACCAGGACATCCTAGTTAACATAAAAACACACAATGTGTTGGTGAGAAATCAGCCCGTGTATGTGTTTGGGCAAAAGAAGCAAAAAGAAAATACATTAGTGCCCTTTAAAGGAATTTCCCCCAATGCTCTTCAGGATTCAGCTTCAGTTTCTGTTCACTTTGTACAAAGGTGTTTAAATATAAAGAAAGGATTTGAATATGTATAAGAAAGTCTTAAGTATAAACATCCTAAGGCTTTAAGATGTTTAGACATATTGCTTCCTGACCTCCAGAACAAAGCTTTGGCTAATTAGAGACGTTTAATGAGCCTAGAGCTAGAGAAATGCACATTTACGGGGCACGTGCGGACAATACTGCTTGGGCGCGCTGAGGAGGGCAAGCGAAGGTCTGCTCAGAACAACGAGGTGGCTGTCCTTGCTGAATAGGAACATGGATTTTATAACGAAAAACTGCTAGTAGAGAACGTGGTTCTAGCCTGTTCTAATATTTCAACTGCATAAATGGACACAAATATCTTTTTTTATTCTGAAGTCCTTTCAGACACGCAGAAAAGTTGCAGGAATAGTACAAAGAACCCGTTCCCCAGATCACCAATATTGAGTATTTGTCTTATTTTGAGATATTTGAAAATTTGAGATATTTGCCTTATCATTTCTATCTCCCAACTCCCGCTTCTCCATATGTTATCCACAGACATGTTTTTTCCAAACCACTTGAGAGTAGACGGACTACCTCATACCCCTTCCCCCTCCAGTCTTCCCTTTGTGGTTCCTAAAATCAAGGCTATTCTCTTACTAACCGTAGTACAATTATCAGATCTAGGGAATTTCATATTAATATTATCTAAGCCACAGCCTATGTTCAGGTATTGCTAGCCGTCGCAGCAGTGCCTTCGATAGCAGCGTGTTTTCCTGGCTCAGACTCCACCCAGGCTCGTGTATGGCATTTACTTACCATGTCTCCTTAGTTCCCCTTCATCTGGAACATTCCCCCAGCCTTTCTCTGTCAGGACATTAACAGCTTTTTAAGAATAAGGGCCATGTATTTTATAGAACACCCCTCAATTTGGATGTGTCTGATGTTTCCTTATGATTCATTTCAGATAGTGCATTTCAGGCGGGAATCCTGTGTGAGGGCTACATGTCCTTCTCAGGGTATCACGATTGGAGGCATACGATGTCTGTTTGCCCCTCATCGGAAACGTGCCTTTTGATCACTTGGCTAATGTGTTGTCCGATTTCTCTCCTGTACAGATTTTTCATCTGGTATTTCATAATTTGTAGAGAGACACTTTGAGGCCCTGTTAACATCCCATTCCATCAAACACTCGCTTCTTCCCAATCTCAAGTTCTTAACAGCCTTCTTTGAGTTGTTATGTAGATGAATGGGTTTCTCAAACTATTGGAAAAATATTTGAAGAAGCAAGCAAACGGTAATTTCACAAGCATTTGACAGAATAGCTGGCACTGAGCATAGCTAAAGCAATCTCTGAGTTCATTCAGTGAGAAGACCTCTTGTCAGCATTGGCTGGGGGCATTGGAGAAATGGCTTTCATGTGTGGAGAGATGGCCAGCCTTTCCAGGATGTTCTCTAAGGAACTGGAGAGATCCACGGACATCTGAAGAAATCTGTCAGATTCCCTCAAAACTGTGAAACCTCAGTTAGTCTCACTTTCGTGACAAAGGGTAAATTAAAAGGCAGGAAAATAAAATAAGGGCTTATCAGAACTTTCTGGAAGCAAATCCATTCCCGGTTATCTCAGGAGCCTGCACATTTTGCTCAGTCCCCTCTACTATTTTTGTGCCCATAGTACATTTTGTTGAGAATAATGCTCAAAAGTTGTTCCTGCACACGGCATAGTATGAAACTAGAAACATACATTTCAGAAAAATCTTCAACAACAGCAATTTTTTAAACAGTTTTTCAAAGTTTATTCTCCAGTTATCAAAAGGCTTTTAAGGGGCACCTGGCTGGCTCAGTCAGTTAAGTGTCAGACTTTTGATTTTGGCTCAGGTCATGATCTCAGGGTTGTTGAGATCCAGCCCCGTGTAGGGCTCCATGCTGGGTGTGGAGCCTGCTTAAGATTCTCTCTCTGCCCCCACTCTCCCTCTCTAAAAATAAATGAATAAATAATTTTTTTTCTTTAAAGGCTTTTGAAAACAGAACATGCTATTCTCTAGGCCCCTAGTTAATTCAGATGTTGTAGCCTATATAAAGCATTCACTTTCCTGAACCTTTGCTGAATCTCATGAAATATTGCCATAGAACCTTAGATTTTCTGTTAAGGCCTGTGTACCTATGACTCCTTGTCTTTTGCTTTGGAAATATATAAACTACTTTATGTTTTTAGATGAACTTGCAAGAATGTTGAATATGCCTTATCCACTCTTCTTGTCTTTCTTCCCCGTTCTCAGGACTTAAAATAGGAACCACCCAGGCCAATGGTCAGATTCCCCAGGCTGCACATTCTGTTAGCGCTGTTCTCGAAGAAGCCCAGAGGCATGCAGAAACAACTAAGGTAAGGCCAGAGAGTAAGTAACTGACATTCTCAGCCTGTCTCCAGTAAGCCCATATTCTAAACCATTAGCAGTGTCCAATAACTGCTCTCCTAAAAAGAGAAAATCTAGTTCCAACAACTAAGAAGTCACTATAATTTTATTTAGATAGTTGCCTTTTTGTTAATCTTAAAGTTATACAGGCTAGAATGGAAAATTAAAGCCAACTGTTATCACATTGCTCCAGGAAAATGGAAGAATTTTTTTTTTAATGCTGATGCTTGGTAAACATTTTTAATTTAGCTACATTGATTTTGGCTGAAGGGATTTTCTTGCTGAAGGGCAAGTGGTTTTAGCACTCTGAAAGTGGACCCTGAGTTTTAAGCCCTTGGGATTTTTACTTTTTTTGAATAAATTAGAACAGTTAGTCAGAAGCCCTATATTAAATGCTATCTAAGCCCCAAAACTAGATTAGAAGACTACTAAAAGGGTTCTATTAGAAAATGTGCATTTTATATTTTTCTGTTAATGTTCAACATACATCCTCAGGGTGATGGAAAAGAAAACACATTTTAAAATAATAGCCAAATTGATATAACATTCTCTATAACTTTTTTTTCAGTAGAGATTAGTGAAGATTTATTTAATCTGAAAATTGTAGCTGAAAGTTGTAATCTATATACTAGTCTAACTGGTAACATTTCAAGTGACTATTCTGTTGAATATTTTCCACGTGTGATTCAAACAGCCTTGAATAATTGTACCTTCCATTATTTTTCACTTCATTCTCCCCCTCTCATTTTGTCCATCAGCCAGTGGTGGGAGCAATTAAATCTTGTATTTTTTGAAATTGTTATAATTTCTGAAAACCATTGTAGACCATTAAAAGTTGTGTTTCTCTAATATTCTTATGAGCTTCTCAAGTCCGACATCAGGCACCTCACCTTCAGCTCTTATTATTTCTATGGTTCCTGTAAAGCCAACTGAAGAGAAACACTTGAAAATGCTGAAAGCAACAAAAGGATCCCAGAATAGAAACCACTTTGCTTTGTGTGAACATCAGTTCCCAAACTGCCTGTTCAGAATTGTTTTTAAGTGTACATCACTAGTCAACTAGCTTATCATGCCAAGCAAATAAACCAAATAAAATAGAAACTCAATCATAAGGCACTTTGTAGGAAAAAAAAAAAAAAAACTACATAACTTCTAAATTTAATCGTCAGTGGTAAGAGGTGGTTAAGCCAAAGAAAAAAAATGAAAGCCTGATAATTATCAGGAAAACAGAGGGATTCAGCTAAGCTGCCTGAAATTCCTGGGGAAGTTGCATTATATAAATGTTAAGTTACTATTATCATCTATTCCACTGTTGGCAGAAGGGGAACTGTGCCTCTTTAGCCTTTGGCCAAGTCTGATGTTCTGGTTTCCTCCAGGAGTAGCATGGGCAGCATGATTTTACTGCACAGAACCGAGCCACACATTTAGCTCACTTGGTATCATCATAACCTTGAGGCCTAGATAATAACAAAGCCTATGATGCTCATTTTATCCCTGATTGGCCAGCCGACTTTCACACAGTTAAGAAAAGGTAAATCTAAGACTGTGGACCAGGTGTGTGGATTCTCAGTCCACCCACCGCCTCCCTTGAAGTTGTCATGCCAGAGGGAGAAAAGCCTGTAATTGGCTTCTCCCTGGTAGCCCACAGTCCTGGGGAAAGGCATCTTTGTTCTTGGCATGCCAGCAATCACTGATGCAAGAGAAGGCAGAACAGTTCTTTGCTAGGAGAGTTATTTTTTGTGCCCAGATTTGTACAAAGCTTACCGGTAGCCTAGAGAGAACTCTCTCTGTTTTATTTTTCCCTTCCATCTTCCTTGTACTAATCAAAGGAGGACATCTAAGCCAGGAGTTTTGGGGAAGGTTTGGGGAAGCTTCTTAATCACCTTTCGGCCACTGGAGGTATGATACAGAAGCAAAATAATTTTATAGACACCTGCCCCTGACAACTGAGCTTCACAACCAGCTCAACTCAGACCAAGAAAAATGTTATGGCTGCATAGGCTGAGGACCCCCGGGCGGGGGCGGGGGGAGGGGGGTTGTCTTGGGAACCAAGGCTTGAGTGGGAATTCCAGGAGAGCCGTTTTGCTTCCATTCTGAGTTTACTTAGGCTGAGCTTAGGGTAGGTAAAGACTGAAGTAACCCCATAACTAGCTTAGCTCTGTATCACTAAAGCTCTTTCGATGATGTGGTGGTTGGGAAGAGATACATCTATAATCTAAACATAATAAACACCTCGTGTTCCATTTACTGAGGAAGACATGGTAGATTAGCGTTAAATAATGTTATCATCGGTAAGACTGTTAAGGGCCATTTGGAGTCATTCTCCTAACGCAAAGAGGAGCTAGCTCGTGAACCACCTGTATGTAGTCGCAGGGCCGGAGGAATGGAGGCTCCCCGACCCTCGGGAGGCAGACCTCACCGTCCAGTGGAAATTCACGCTGCGTTTGCTCTGTTGAAGGACAAGAAGCCAGCCCTTGGTACCCACGAGCCAGGAGTGCCGAGGGCGCACCAGCTTCCCAAGGCCAGCCTGCCGCCGCCCCCGCCCTTGCGGCGGTCGTCAGACTCCTGCAGCAGCCCGAAGACATCCGCCAGGGTCAAGGGCCCGGGCGGCGGCTTCCCGGCCCCGCCCGACGACTCTCTGCCGCCCCCCCCGCCGCCGCCGCCCCTGGAGGACGGCCAGCTCCCTCCGCCGCCCCCCGATTTCAACGACGCGCCCCCGGACTTCGTGCCTCCCCCACCGCCGTCGTTCGCAGGGGATGCGGGCTCTCCGTTGCCGCCCCCGCCCCCGCCCCCACCTGCACCTGCCCCCGAAGCCGCGAAGCCGCCCGCCCTTGGCGTCAAAAGACCTCCAGTCCCCCCGAAGAGGAAAGAGAACCCAGCGCCGCCCGGCGGGGGAGGCAGCGGAGAGCAAGATTTCATGTCCGATCTCATGAAAGCTTTGCAAAAGAAAAGAGGCAACATATCCTAAGGGAAACGGATCAGTATCTTCTTGTGATGGGCATAATCACTTCTCACCTCAAGTGCATTTTTACTACTTTATTTCCGTGACATCTTGTTCATTTTCGATAAAATATTGACCCATTCAGACGAGAAATGATGTAAAATGTCTCACCGTAGCTCAGATACATTCATAACCATTAACCTAACACAGAAGTTAGTCTCTGCTAAATGTACATATCTTAACTGTTTCCACTTCTGTGAATGCATCTTCCCTTCCAAGTTAACTAAAAATTTTTTATGTTCCTTTATCTTACTATGTTCAGAAGCATCAAATTAATAAAAGTTAAATTTTTTTTTCTTGGAGATGATACTTCTAAAAATATCAGTGTATATAAATCTATTGTGATATCGACGCCATGTTACAATATACTTGACCTTTTGAAATAGCTTTCAAAAGTCGTGGGCCTTCTAAAGTATTGTTGATCTTGGAGATATTTTCCATCTCCACCCCCATGACCTTCAGAATTTTCTGAAAAATCGAAAGAGAAAAAAGGAAAAAACAGGAGAGGCAAAGTGAATTCAGTTTCTTTGAGACTCATGGCTTGATTGATGGGGGTTCTGGACATATACTGTTTTGGTTTTGGTTTTCCAAAGGTCAAATAACATAGTAATGAAGAAAAGAGATATGTAGAGTTTGGGGATTCTCTGTTATTACACTGCTGTAAGTACACTATAAATTAAAATTTAGAGACAGGAAAAGGCAGTCATTTATCTCTCAGATAAATTTGATGCTCAATTTTAATAGCCAATTTATCTTGAGTTCCTGTTACCCTATCTCACTTCTCTTTCAAACTAACTTCTGGGAATCCTTTTAGATTTTCTGAGCTTTATTTCCATGGTTCTGTTTTTTCTTTTTAATTGTGAAACACCTCAAAATCTTTTTTTTTTTTTTGAAGTATAATTAACACACAATGTTACATTAGTTTCAGGGGTACAACATCGTGGTTCGAGAACTCTGTATGTAACGGCTGTGCTTACCACAAGGTATTACAATATCATTGACTATATTCCTTATGTTGCGCCTTTTATTCCTGTGACTTATTCATTCCATAGCCGGAAGCCTGTGTCTCCCCCTCCCCTTCACCCATTGTGCCCATTCCCCCACCCCACCCCCTCTCCTCTGGCAACCATCAGTTTGTTCTCTGTATTTAAGGGTCTGTCTCTGCTTTTTTTTGCTTATTGATTTTTTTTTTAGATTTCACGTATGAGTGAAATCTTACAGGATTTATCTTTCTCTGGCTTATTTCACTTGGCATAATATCTTCTAGGTCTATTCATGTTGCTGCAAATGGCAAGATTTTATTCTTTTTTATGGCTAATATTCCTTTGTGTATATATAGCACCTCTTCTTTATCCATTCATCTGTCTGTGGCCACTTACTTTGCTTCCATATCTTGGCTATTGTAAATAATGCTGCAATAAACGTAGGGGTGCACCTATCTTTTAGAATTAGTGTCTTCGTTTTCTTTGGACAAATAGTAGAGGTATCACTGCATCATACGGTGTTTCTGTTTTTGTTTGAGGAACCTCCATACTGTCTTCCACAGCAGCTGCACCAGTTTACCTTCCTACCAACAGTGCACAAGGGTTACTTTTTCTCCACATCTCAAAATCTTCTTAAAGCAGATAGAAAATAAATAATAACTCATATGTTACTTTCTACTTAAGGAAGATGATTAATCTTTTTTTTCAAATTAAACAGGTTTATTGGAAATATGCATTATAATCTTCAGAGGAAATTACATGCAGCATTTTACAAATGTATTTGACAGCGAAGCTTTCTGCAAATAAACACATTACACCATCTAAGTGAAGATGATTAATCTTATGTTTTAATATTTGGGGGGAAGTAAGCTCTAAATTGACATTACAGAAAGGCAAATTCAGATCTTAAAGCCAAAATATTTAGTAATTAAAATTAATGAGGTGCTCTACACTTTTCCTAAGCATGTTCCTAAAATAGGATAGAAGATAAATGCTTTACATTAAATGTCTCCTCATGCACAGTAACCCTTTCCTGTTTGTTTTTGTTTTATGATGATCTTTGACGCCAGATGCATTAAAAACACAACTTTTCTGAGACCTGAGGAAAGCCTGATCATTATGCAGATCTCTAGGACAATACAAGAAAGGTGTTAATGGCAGAATTTTCTTAGGAACTGATTTGGAGATGGAGAGCTCACAGAGGAAATGTAGAACAGAATGTCTGTGGCCACACAGAATTGTCCAGGTTGCTTCAACCTGACATAGGTTAATGAACCAAGCCTGTGAGGTTCAGGACAAAAAGTTGTTCGTTAGAATTACCTGGATCTTACTTGCTTTGTTCAAAATGACCACCTAGTTTGCAGATGAGGAAACGCATTAGTACTTGAGAAGAGTAATTTAGAATTCAGTGCCTCTGCCATCAAAAAAATAATAATCCTTTGCCGACTGGATTTCAGAGTATAAAAACCTTGATGGCACTTCCCAGCCATGTCTAGAGCAGGAAGCAAACACATTCTCCATCCCACAGCCACAGAATCGCCAAGATGAAGGGACCCTGGAAACGACCCACTACATTAATTAGGATCATGACTTTACATGACAAAGACCCTGGAGCAATCTTAAGCAAAGAGTAGGACTTAATTACACAATTCCGAGGAGCAGAATGCCAGTACCCAAGGCTACATGTGCCCCTAGACTATTGCACAGGACCTAGAACTGGTGCCTGGAAATTCATAGCTTTCCCCTCTCATCTCTGCTCCTGTCCATACACTTGCCTCCTTGTCCCTCTCTTTGCAAACATTGTTACTCTCTTTGTGTTGACACTCCACCTTTCGGTTCCTATGGTGGAAGACAGTTTCACTTTCCAACTGCTGAATTTCTCTTTGCATCTGTCTAGAGGCCAGGATGGACTGGCAGTCTACCTTTTAGCCCCAACTGGGAAAATTCGCTAAAAGAGAACCTCATTGGCCTGAGTGAATAAAGGGTCATTGCTCAGCCAAATCATTAGTAGCCAGAACATAACACCAGAGGTACTGGGACCCATCACTGTGGATCAAGAAGGCTGAGAGAGGAGGATGAAGGCACTGAAGAGGGCAGAGGGAGAGCTGTGGTTGTTATGGGCTTCACAGAAGACCCAAAAAATGTCACTTCAAACATATTCCTAACTTAACAGAGAGAAATCGGGCCTGACAATGTGCTTAACCTAGATCCCACCGAGCTGGGTTACAGCCCCAGTTTTGTAACTCCCATCCATACCATACCTTTCCTCTACAAGGGAAAAAATATATAAAAATTCAAACATTAAAATGTTTGTTTTAACATTTGATAATATGAATTTTAGGAAAGCTCCCGAAGAGAATTAACTGATTTTGTGGTCAAAGTGTTGATAGTTTTAGTGAACCAAAGGGTTGAATACATTGTGTGTGTCTAGTCTTTGCCTGTGTGGTGGGCCCACTTTGATCTCTGTTATCCAAGAAAGAATCCTTTGTTAAGGTCTTTTCAGTCAGGAATTTTAGAAATTGGGGCTGCTTTTGCCTCATCTTGGGGCAGAAGTTTGCTTTCATTAGGCCCAAGCACCAGATCAGGAGCTCTGTGTGATTTTCACTCAAGTGGAACAGAATCTCTAGTGTCTAGCAGAAAGGTCTTCACAAACACTACTTATACATGAGTCTACTTAGGTCAGCCTTGAAAATGCACCAAAATCTGTTCCCCTTTCATGAAAAGCTTAGCCACAAATTTGGATGTGAGGGAAGTACCATCTTTGGGGTGGAGCCATCGAGGAAGGAACTGTGGGATTAAGACAGTAATCCTGTATCATAATTTATAATAATTACAGAATTTCGTGTATAATGTTGCCAACAGGACAAAGACCCAGGTAATAGGATAACTACGAAGCAAAACAAAACACAGGGTTTGATCAAGTTTACAAGAAACAAGATTTAACATGCCAGGAGACAGACTCTCCTGCTTTCAGCGGGTCTCAGAGGGAAATGAACATTTAAGCTTCTACTGTGTGATTTACATATTTTATTTAGTCATAGAAACAATGGCTGGTATGATACTGAAACTATCAAACTCAATGATAACTGAGCCTTTGAAATTTGAGATTTTTTGGCTTGATATATGGTCAGTTTTTATAAATGACCCACATGTGTTTAGGTACAATGTACTGTAAATGTTGCTTAGAATAGCCTTGCTAAGCATGTGGCTCAAGGCTTCCACAGCCTAATATGTAGTCTGCTTGTTCCATCAACTACTTGGAAGAATGTGTTAAAATCCCCTTTGATGAAGGTGGATTTTTCAATAGCTTCTAATTGTTCTGGTAAATTCTGCCTTACATATTCTGACACTTAATATTAAGTATAAACAAAATTTATTTGTATATTTTCCTGGCAAATTGAATGGTAGACCTCTGTATACTGCTCTTTGCTTGGTATATTCATACGGCTGTACCATCTCTTTTTGGTTATTTGCCTGAAAAATCTTTCTATCCATTTATTGTCAAACTTTTTATATCATGATATTTTAGGTTTGCCACTTGTAGATGGCATAGAAGTGGATTTTGTTGTGTTTATATCTAGTCCAGCCACCATTGTCTTTTAACTGGCAAATTTATTTTTTTAACCTTTACTGTGATGATTATATGTATAAGTCTTATTTTGTACTGTTTTTAATATCTTATTTTGTACTTTCTATTATCTGGATTTTTCTGGGGCTTTTGTCTTTCTATCTTTTCATGTAACTAAGGATTTTTTCCCTTACTCCATTTTGAATCTTATTGGAAAGTTATACACTCTGTTTTTATTCTTTCAGTGGCTACCTATAAGTGACAATATCATACTTAAGAAGGTCTAAAGTTAAACAGCTTTAACCAGGACAATACAAGACTTGAGAACACTTTAATTTCAGTCATACACACAAACACACACACACACTATATTGTCCAGTGTTTGAATTCTGTCTCAGGGTTGTTTTTTTTTCCTAGAATGTCTTTATTACACACTCATTCTTGAAAGATGGTATCACTGTATATAAAATTCTGGATTGGCTGTAGATAAACTTTAGTAAATACCAAAGAACAGTGAGTTATTTGAGAATGTTGTCCCCCTATCTTCTAGCTTCCACTGATGCTGTTGAGAAGTTGGCTGTCAAATTATCATTTCATTTTGGTCATCTTTTTGTTCCCTTTCTGGATGATTTTAAGACTTCTCTTTATTGGGGTCCAAGTGTGGGTTACTTTTTATTTGAATACTTGGGAATCTGTGGAGGCTCCTAATTTTAAAATGTGTGGATTTCACTATTCTGGAATATTCTCATATATTTTGTTTTCAAATATTGCCAGTTCTGGAGCTCCAGTGAAATGTATGTCGGGCCTTCTAACTATCCTCTGTATCTCTTAATTTTGTATATTTTCCCTAATGTACTCATTTCATTTTGGGGGAACTAATGAAAATGGTATTTTTAATTTCAGATTTAGTTGTTCATTGCTAGTATATAGGAATACAATTGCAATTGACTTTTGCATAAAACCTTGAATCCTGCAACCTTACTGTAATTGCTAATTAGTTCCAGGATTTTCTTTTGTCAGTTGTTTTTGAATTTTCTACATAGACAATCATGTCACCTGTAAACAAAGACAGTTTATTTTCTTCCTCCCCAATCTATATACCTTCTATTTCCTTTTCTTATTAAGTTAGCTAGGATTTCCAGTAGGATATGTTGAAAAGCAGTGGTGAGAGGGCACATCCTTATCTTGTTCCTGACCTTAGCAGGAAAGCTTCTAGTTTTTCACCATTAAGTAAAAGGTTAGCTGTAGGTTTTTTGTAGATGTTCTTTAGCAAGTTGAGAAAATTCCCCTCTATTCCTAGTTTGTGCAGACTGTTTATCATGAATGGCTGTTGAATTTTGTCAAATGCTTTTTTCTGCATCTATTGATATGACCACATGATTTTGGTATAGTTGATTTTCTCTATTGATTTCCTGTTTTCAATTTCATTGATTTCTGCTTTAATTTTCAATTCTTTACTTCCGCTTAATTTGGATTTAATTTACTATTCTTTTTCTAACTTCTCAAGGAGGAAGATTAGATTATTGGTTTTAGGTCATTCTTCTTTTCTACTCTGTGCATTCAGTGTTATAAATTTCTCTTTAAGCACTTCATCCTACAGATTTTGATAAGTTGTATTTTCATTTTCATTAAATACTATTTCATTCCTCTTGAGATTCCTTCGACTCCTATGTTATTTCGAAGTGTGTTGTTTAATCCCCAAGTCTTTGGAGATTTTCCAAGTATCTTTCTGCTATTAATTTCTGCATTTAATTCCATCATGACCTGAGAGCAGACATTGTATGATTTATATTCTTTTGAATTTGTTGGGGTGCCTGGGTGGCTCAGTTGATTGAATGTCTGACTTCGGCTTCGATTGTGATCCCAGGGTCCTGGGATCAAGTCCCATGTCGGGCTCCCTGCTCAATGGGAAGTCTGCTTCTCCCTCTCCCTCTGCCTGCCACTCCCCCTACTTGTGCTCTCTCTCTCTCTCTGCCAAATAAATAAATAAAATCTTAAAATAATTAATTAATTAATTTAAATTTGTTAAGGTGTGTTTTATGGCCCAAAATATGGTCTGTCTTGGTGAATGTTTCATGTAAGCTTGAGAAGAATGTGTATTCTGCTGTTATGAGATAAAATAACCAGTAGATGTTAATTATATCCAGTTGATTGATGGTGCTGATGAGTTCAACTGTGTCCTTACTAATTTTCTGCCTGCTGCATCGGTCCATTTCTGACGTAAGGTTGTTGAATCTACTAGTTTTTGAATCATGTGTTTTGACACTCTGTTGTTAGGCACATACACATTAAAGAGTGTTACGTTTTCTTGAAGAATAAACCCTTTTATCATTCTGTAATGCACTTATTTATCCCTGATACTTTTCCTTGCTCTGAAATTAATATAGCTATTTCAACTTTCTTTTGTTTATGTTAGCTTGGTATATCTTTTTTCCATCCTTTTAATTTTAACCTATATGTGCTCTTGTATTTAAAGTGGATTTCTTGGGGGTGCCTGGGTGGCTCAGTCATTTAGCATCTGCCTTCAGCTCAGGTCATGATCCCAGGGTCCTGGGATCGAGCCCCGCATCGGGCTCTCTGCTCAGCGGGAAGCCTGCTTCTCCCTTTCCCACTCCCCCTGTTTGTGTTCCCTCTCTGTCAAAAAATAAATAAAAATCTTTAAAATAAAAAAAATAAAGTGGATTTCTTGTAGCCAGAATGTAGTTGGGTCTTGCTTTTTGACTAGCACTCTGACAATCTGTCTTTTAATTGCTGCATTTAGACAACTGATGTTTAAATCAATTACCCATGTAGGTGGATAATTATCTACCATATTTGTTACTGTTTTCTACTCATTGCCCTTGTTCTTTGTTTCTCCTTTTGTCTTCCACTCTTTTTCTACCATTTGTGGTTTTATTTTTTTAAAGATTTTATTTATTTATTTGACAGAGAGGGAGACAGAGACAGAGAGAGCACATACAAGCAGGGGGAGCAGCAGAGGGAGAGGGAGAAGCAGGCTCTCCACTTAGCAGGGAGCCTGATGTGGGACTCGATCCAGGACCCTAGAATCATGAACTGAGCCAAAGGCAGACACTTAACCAACTGAGCCACCCAGGCGCCCCCGATTTGTGGTTTTAACTGAGCATTTATATGATTCCATTTTCTCTCCTTTTTTAGCACATCAATTATACTTTTTATTTTTACTTTGTTAGTGGTTGCTCTTGAGTTTGCAGTATGTATTTACAAGTAATCCAAGTTCATTTTCAAGTAACACTGCAATGCTTCATGGCAGTGCAAGTACTATAACAAAATATTTTTTATTCCCCCCTCCTGTTTCTCATATCATTACTGTCCTTGATTTCACTTACACATAAGCCATAATCCTCTAATATATTGTTGCTAGTGTTGTTTTTAACAAACTGTTATCTATTACATTAAGATTAAGAAAAATAAAACTTCCTTTTATCTTCACTTATTCCTTCTCTAATGCTCTTTCTTTCTTTATGTAGGTCTGAGTTTCTGACCAATATCATTTTCCTTCTCCCTGAAGAATTTCTTTAAGCATTTCTTGAAGGTCTGCTGGCAACAAATTTCTTTTCTCTCTCTCTCTTTTTCTCTTTTGTCTTTTGTCCTTCACTTTTGAAGGATAATTTTGTAGGATACAGAATTCTAGTTTGGCAGGGTTTTTTTTTCTCAACACTTTAAATATTTCACTCCATTCTCTTCTTGCTTGCATGGTTTCTGTGAAGTCAAATGTAATTCTTACCTTTTTTCCTCCATTTATAAGATGTTTTATTCTTCTGGCAACTTCTGGGATTTCTTATTTATCTTTGATTTTCTAGATTTTGAATATGATATGCTTAAATACTGGTGGTGATGTTTGGGGGGTGTTTATCCTACTTGGTATTCTCTGAGCTCCCTGGATCTGTGGTTTGGTGTCTGGCATTAATTTGGGAAAATTCTCAGTCATTACCTCTCTTCCTTTCTTCCTAGTATGTGTATAATATATCTTTTGCAGTTGTCCCATAGTTCTTGGATATTCTGTTTTGTTTTGTTTTCAGTCTTTTTTTCTCTTTGCTTTTCAGTTTTAGAAGTTTCTATTAACATATCCTCAAGCTCAGACATTTTTTCTTAAGCTGTGTCTAGTCTACTAATGACACCATCAAAGGCACCTTCATTTATGTAAGAATGGTTTTGATCCCTAGCATTTTTTTTTATTCTTTCTTACATTTTCCATCTCTCTGCTTACATTATCCATCTATTTTTGCATGTTGTCTACTTTTTCAATTAGAGCCCTTGCATATTAACCCTGGTTATTTTTAAATACTGGTCTGAGAATTCCAACATTCCTGCCATATCTGACTGTGGCTCTGATGCTTGCCTTGTCTTTTCAGACTGCTTTTTGCCTTTTAGTATGGCTTGTGATTTCTTTGTGAAAGCTGGACGTGATGTGTTGGATAAAAGGCATTGTGGTTAATATGCCTTTTGTAATATGATGGTAAGGTATGGGGAAGGGGAAGTGTTCTATAGTCCTATGATTAGGTCTCAGTCTTTTAGTTAGCCTATGACACTGGGCACTGGTCTATGCACTTCCCAAGTGCTTCTCAGTTTTCTTCACTCTTAGGTGGGACAAGATGGCTACAGAGGGTTAGAGCCAAGTATTTCCCTTCCCCCACATGGAAGGCTAGAGGAGGCTGGATTTGGTATTCCACTTTCCCCTGGTCAGTTAAGCTGTGATAAAATCTCACTAGGTTAGGCTTTGGTAAAATATTTTTTCCTGCAGGCAGGTCTTGTTAAGAAGACTGGAATGCTCTGGCATATTTCAAAATGAGCTACTTTCCCTTTTCTCTGCTGGAAACATGAGGGCATTTTTCTTAGATTGCCACTGTGAGAACCTGGTATAACTCCTGGAAATAAAACTCACAAAAGTGTGGGAATGTTACCTGACTGGATCTCCTTGGAGCTCATAACTCTCAGACTTGTAAAACATCTCTCTCAAAAATTCTAACTAAAACAGATCGAAAATAAGTAAGAATGAGTGGCACAATTGAAAAACTTGATCCAATAAAATACATAGTATTTACATTAACTTAGAGAATATACATTATTACCAAATATGCATGAAACAATTATACTTTTCTATGTATTAGGACACACACACAAAAAATCAAATTCCCCCAGATTGGTATAATGTATGTTATAGTCTCTGGCCACAAAGTGAAATAAAACAAATAACTACAAAAGAATAGCCAAAACAAAAAAGCCAACCCACTTGGAAAGTTAAAGCAACTTCTATGGAACTCTTAGGTTAAAAATAAAGTCAATATGAAAAATGCAGATTAATGAGGCGCCTGGGTGGCTCAGTGGTTACGCATCTGTCTTCAGCTCAGGTCATGATCCTGGGGTCCTGGGATTGAGCCTCACATCAGGCTCCCTGCTCAGTGGGGAGTCTGCTTCTACCTCTCCCTCTGACCCTCCTCCAGCTCATGCTCTTGCTCTCTCTCTCAAATGAATAAATTTTTTAAAATGCAGATTACTTAGAAACTAATAACATTGAGAATAGCCAAAGCAGTACTCACTAGAAATTTTATAGTCTTAATTTCATGTATTAGAAAACAAGATTAAAAATAAATGAACTAAGAGTGTACTAAACCAGGAAAGTCAAAAGAATAAAAAAAAAAAAACCTGAAGAAATTAGAAAGATTTCACTTATAAAGAGAAAAATAAAAATTAAACAGAAGACTAAAAAAAAAGCAAACAGATGACCTGAAAAGGCCAACATAAAAGACTAAGGTTTAGCAAATTTAATCAAGGATAAAAGATTGAGAACATATATTAAGAAGTTTAGAAACAAGTACAGGGACAAAATTACAGATATGGAAGAAATTAAATATTATAAGACAATAAATAGCACATATAATATGTGTCAACAAAATTAAGCATCTTGATGAATTAATTTTTTAAGAAATATATGAATTACCAAATTGGATGCAAGAGGATTCAGAAAACCTGTAGTCTCATAATCACAGGAAGATATGAAAGATATGAAAAGAGTTTTCATTTACCTAGTATCTCATTTCCCTTTCTTCTTAATTAACAGAAGATCTAGTGGGAATGGCAACATACCTGGCTAAAAATAGTTTCCTAGACTCACTTTGCAGCCATAAACGGTCAGTGACCCAGTCCTTGCCAGTGAAATCCAAAAATAGAAAAGAGATGTAAGTAAAAGACTGTTGGGGATTTCTAGGAAGGATTTTTGTTTCCCCGTTCCCTTCCTCCACCCTGACTGGACTGAGGATCAAAGCTTGGAGGTCATCAGTTATTTACTGACCATGAGGCAACAAGCAGAGGACCAACTCAATGCCATAAGGAGATGGGGGAATGGAAAGGAAAGTCTTGGGCCCCTCGGGGCATTGCTGAGCTGTTGCACCAGCCCTAGAATGCTTGGTCATACACTTCCCTTTGTGTGACTCAAACAAACCTCTATGCGGTTAAGACAGTGTTAGTCAACTTCCAGTTATTTGCAGCTGAAGAAAAAGAATTTTCAATTCTCTGGTGATGTGAATATCTAGTTAAGTTCAACAACAAGGCTAAGATGAACCATAGAAACCAAAAACTATCCTATGTACCAGTGAACCCATTTAGAAAAGGTAGTACAAAAGTGATCTCATCCACAATAACAACAAAACTACAATATATCTAAGAACTGATATAAGAAATCTTCAAAGCTGGAGGCACCTAGGTGGCTCGGTCAGTGAAAGTGGCTGCCTTCAGCTCAGGTCATGATCCCCCATCAGGCTCTCTCTCTCTCTGTGTCTTAAATAAATAAATACAATCTTTAAAAAAAGAAATGTTTTTAAAAAAGAAATCTTCAAAGCCTATATGGAGAAAAATATAAATTTTTATTACAGGACATAAAAGAAAATGTTAGGAAACAGATACAGATAGCCCTTACTTTGCATAGTTCCAACATGCACAAGTTCCAATTACCACAATTTAGTTAAATAACACTAGTTCCCCAACATTTGCTACCATGGTATTATAACTGGGAACAATTGGGTAAAGTACAAACTTCACTGTTAGCATTACAGTCCAGAAATCACTACATAAGAAACAGATGAATATTGTGGGCAGTGACCAATCACATCACGTCTTTCAAAGTGTGTTAGTGATTGATCACTGTATACTTGTTATTCAGTTTATGCACAGACAGCAAAGTGTGTAGTTGCACTGGCTCCTTGTCTCCCAGTGGTAAACCCACATGACATTTTATAAAAATGATCATTGAGGGGCGGCTGGGTGGCTCAGTCATTAAGTGTCTGCCTTCGGCTCAGGTCATGATCCCAGGGTCGTGGCATCAAGCCCCGCACATCGGGCTCCCTACTCAGTGGGAAGCCTGTTCTCCCTCTCCCACTCCCCCTGCTTGTGTTCCCTCTCTCACTGTGTCTCTCTCTGTCAAAAAAATAAATAAAATCTTTAAAAAAAAATTTTTTTTTAAAAGATCATTGAAAGAGGGAAATTGGCAATAAAGATGAAACTGCAATACATAAATGAAAAATGATAATACTGAAAGTGAAATTCAAATTGAACATAAATGGAGTTATAGAAAAAATAGTGGCAACTCACTAAGATGTAGAAAAGATCCTAGCTCTGTATTATGAAGTATATGACAAGAAAGAAGGCAAGCACTGTTCAAGCCACTCTTGATAAATTTTTTAGGAAGAAAGAAAACACTTTCTCAATGTTTCTAATGTTTTAAATTACAATGCACTAAATACTAGTTTTACTATTTTATTTCCCTATATACCCATGGTGAACAGTGAAAAAGTTTTTAAGGTTTTGACCAAAATTTTTGAAGATCACAAAACAATCATAATTTTTCCCATTGATTATTAAGATCATTTTGCATGGTTTTAGTTTGCATGGCCATTTTTACAGTCCTGCAGTACCATGCAAAATGAAGAATGCCTATAGTATGTTCCTGGATGGGAAAACTCAATGTTGTAAAGATGTCAGTTCTTTCCAAGTCACTCTATAAAATTTTTTTAAGATTTCATTTATTTGCCAGAGAGAGAGAGAGAGAATACAAGCAGGGGGAGCGGCAGGCAGAGGGAGAAGCAGGCTCCCTGTGAGCAAGGAGCCAGATGTGGGACTCAATCCCAGGACCCCAGGATCATGACCTGAATCGAAGCAGATGCTTAACTGACTGAGCCACCCAAGCATCCCTCACTCTAAATTTAATATAAACCCCAATCAAAATCCCAGCAAGATTTTTTTCTGAAAGTTGAAACACATAAAAATTCATCTAAAATAATTAAATAACAAAGAAAATATTTTTTATTTTATTTACAGAGAAAGAAACCATGTGCACGCACAAGTGGTGTGGAGGGACAGAGGGAGAGAGAGAGAGAATCTTAAGCAGGCTCCACACCCAGTGTAGAGCCCCATTTCACAACCCAGAGATCATGACCTGAGCCAAAATCAAGAGTCAGACGCTCAACCGACTGAGCCACCCAGGCGCCCCTATCATTACTTTCTAAAATGTTTTCTTTGTGGGGTGCCACCCAGGAGTGGCTCATCTGGTTAAACGCCTGCCTTCGGCTCAGGTCATGATCTAAGGGTCCAGGGATCGAGCCCCAGGTGGGGGGCTCCCTGCTCAGTGGGGAGTCAGCTTCTCCCTCGCCCCTCCCCCGCTTGTGCTCTCTCTCTCACGCCCTCTCTCAAATAAATAAAATCTTTTTAAAAATTTTAAAAAATAATAAAAAGGATTAATGATAGCAGAATAACAAAATATACTATACTGTTGATACTATACAATCAAAATAAGAGTTGCATTGCTAGAAGAGTTGAAAAAAAAAAGTCTAGCAGTGACCTCAAAGATATGAGAACTTAATATATAATAAAAGTATTTCAAACATGTATGAAAAGGATAAACTATTTGACAAATAGTATAGGGACATTATCTGCCAATGTGGCAAAAAAAAATCAACAAATCTCAAAGGGATTAAAAAGTACACATTCTAAAAATACTAGAAGAAAATATGAGGAAATACTTTTTATAAAATTTAAACAATACAAACCACATATAAAATCCAAAAGTGCTTTTTGAAATTGCCAAATTCAAATATATGAAAATTAAAAACCTGTTTAAAAAGACACCACCAAAGAAGAAAGTACTGATGATAGAAAAGAAACACTATTTACCATATGAAAAACAAAAATTATCTGCTACATGAATAACAAAAATTGATATTAAAATAATAAATTAGGGGCACCTGGGTGGCTCAGTCAGTTAAGCAGCTGCCTTCAGCTCAGGTCATGATCTCAGGGTCCTGGGATTACCAGCCCCACATCGGGCTCCCTGCTCAGTGGGGAGTCTGCTTCTCCCTCTCACTCTTCCTCTGTGCTCTCTCTCTCTCAAATAAATAAATAAAAATCTAAAAAAAAAAAAAAAATTTCTAGGATCATGTACACGAGGAGCCATCATGAATAAAACCTCACTGGCCATACATGGGACAATTTGTACATAGGCTAGGATAATAACTGCAATAGTCTAAAACATAAAATGTGCTTAAATTCAAGAGTTCATAATGATACTAAAACAAATAAACAAGCCTACTGGCTGTCTTTGGAGCATGCTTGGGAACCAATCCTTTGCCTTTCTGTATCTCAGGATAACCAATAATTAATGATAGAAAGTTTTCCTTTATAGAAGGATTACAGCTAACAAATGAATGCTAGGATTAGATTATCATTTTACAACCTTATTGAATCAGTGGGTCAAGGAGATGACTGTCAGGGGCTGCTGATATCACAAAAAGAGACAGCCAATATGTACTTGTTGGTGGAAGTGCACACACTTGCCTTCTGATGGCAAGTACTTCCTCCGATAAATTGAAGGTTTATAGAAATACAGCCAACAGAGCAACATGTTAAACAATAACGCAGAGATGCAACCAGCAAAATGCAGACTCTGGGACACACTATGGGATAAGTAACCTGCTTTCTTTAACCAAAACAAAAAATTGCAAGGAAAAAGAAGATGCAGGTGGTTGTATCCAAAAATAACAAAGGAAACTCAAGAAATGTTGTCATCTAATTTGAATGTATAGTCCTTACTTGGATCCCAATTCAAATAAGTAACTATAAAATAATAATACTGATGATAGTAACTTATAAAACAATAGGAAATCCAAAAACTAGTCATTTGATTTGATGAATTAGGGAGTTGTTCAGTTGTCTTAAGGTGATACGGTTTGGCATGTGTTTTCAGTCATTAATGTTTGGAGATACATACAGAAATATTTGTAAACTAAATGAAACACATCTGGGAACTTATGTGGGGATATAGAAATTATACCTCAATTAAAACAATAACTAGAAATGAGGGGAAATGTGTAGGGATGTAGATGAAATAACACTGATCACACATTGATAATTAAGAAGCTGGCTGGTAAATCAGGTTCATTATACTATTCTCTTTACTTTGGTTAATGTTTGAAAACCACTATAATAGACAAAAAAGCTCTAGGAGTATGGTTAAACTACATACTTATCCGATGTGCCCCACAGCACTGGATACATAGCATGTCATAGATGAATACTTACAAGTTCATTAAAAGATTGTCATAAGATTTTTCAGTTATTGAGAATAACTCACACAGCTTGCCAAACATATTTTATTATTCCACTAAAGTTATTCATTAGAACGAAAATGATCACAAAGTTGTTCCAAAGAATAGGTCCAGTTTATTTGATTAAAAAATATTTGCAAACATAATCCTTTTTATGAAATGTGGGGTTGTCATCAGAATGTAGTCATTAAGAATTTATCAAATAGATCATTCTCTGTCGAATTCAATGACAGAAGTATTCCTTAATTTATTTACCCTAAATTAAGATGAGCAGCTAACTCTGAGGTCTTTAGCCCAAGAAGGAGTAGGTGAGGAGTAGCCTGCTTTCTCAGCTGCAGAATGCTTCTGGAAAGGATGCTGAAGAACGTGCTGGAGAAGACAGACCTGCCAAACAATTGAAGCACATGGATACAGATTTCCTTCTTGGGACCCTTATCAATGTTCTAAATTCCCAGAATGACAAGGTTAAATTTATATTTCTTTAAAAATATTTAAACATTTTATGTTTTATTAAAATTTCAACTATAGTTGTTACTTAAAATTTCTATCATTCCACAGAAAGTTCCTTTAAGTACTAGTTTTGTGCTAAAACAGGAGAGCAAATACATACCCTGTCACAAAGACTATATATATACGTCCCAATAATTTTGAAGTTCTTTTACAGCATTAAGAGAATTATAATTTTCTAAAATATTTACAAAAATAAAAGAATGTCAGTGGTTTGCCATCTTTCCAAATCAAGGGCATGGATTCCAACTCATGCTGCTTCCTCATTTGCAATTTGAGCCTTGGTAATAGACTGAGGCATCAAAGAACACACCTCTTTCAACAATAATTCTAGGATCAAAATGTATATTTCCACCCAGTTATAAAATAAGTCATGGGAATGTAATGTACAGCATGGTGACTCTAGTTAATAATACTGTATAGCATATTTGAAAGTTGCTAAGAAAACAGATCCTAAAAGAACTCATCACAACAAAAAAATTTTGTAACCATCTATGGTGATGGGTGTTAACTAGACTTACTGTGGTCATAGTTTCACAATATATACAAATATTGACTCATCATGACATTAAAGTAATATAATGTTATATGTCAACTATACCTCAATTAAAATATACTTTTTGGTGGTTTTGTCATTTCCTTGGGTGTTAATAAAGGAATACTTGGTTCAGATAGAAAAAGGTGCATGATTATCTATACTAAGAAAGTACCAAGAGATCAGAGATCAAATTACTGTATTACTAATATTTTAAATAGGAAGACTCATCATAATCAATATGGTGCTCTTAGAACCTCTCTTAACTTCTCCCAGGTGCTTTATACATATCCTTTTATTAAAGTTAGTTTTATACCTATCTAATCTCACTTGTTGGCTAAAAATCTCCCTGAATACATTTTTACATACTTCTTCATAGCACCTCACATACAGTCTCAAGAAATGTTTGATGCAGGCAGGTAAACATAAGTTGTGTGTGTAAAGGATTACCTTACAGAGGTTTAACAAAAATCTTTTTCCTCCCCTACATGAGAATTTAACCCTTAATTAACTTCCTAGGTCTGCTCCCCTAGTCACTTGATAAGGTCGTATGACAATATACATATATATATAAAACCATATAACTTTGCTTATGACCGACAAATAGCATCTGGATGGGAGAACTGTAACTACCTGACAAAATGCTTTAGGCTTTCTTTAGTGTGGTGACTCGGTACAAGGCAGGTCTCTTGTGGGAACACTGGAAACTACGTCTATGGAGTTGTGACAAGAGGTACTGGTTTCTATGGAACATGAAGCTTTTAAGCCAGGGCTGCCCCTGCATCTTCCCAGTGTGGGCCTTGTCCCTGCACACCCGAGCTTCGCTGCTGTGCTGGGTGCTATCCTGGACCACAAGAACTCCTGCAAACAGGGAGCGTGATATTGCCCTGCTGGTAAGCCAGTCTGTCCTCTGTCTGAGTCGAGTGGGGCCAAGAGCAGCCTGTGCTAGTCCTATGAATCTGAATGTTCACTTGAACCTAGGAAGACACCTCCCCACCCACGGTGGGTGCTGCACCCTTACTCAAAGATAATTTGGGGGAAGGGAAGAAAACAAGGAACAAAAGATAGGAAAGGAAGGAGAAACAAGCCAACAAAACAACTGATGAAACAATGCTTCATTTCCCCAGCTTTGGCTGATTTAAAGACAAATACTGAGCTCTCTCCCTTCTCTTTGTCTTTCTTTAATACCATAAAAGATTACATTTAAATGTTTTATTTTCTAAAGTGAAAACCTAGGTTTGTCAGGCTAATGAAACTACTGAAATAAAAAGTTAATGCAAGTCCCAAATTAGAAATAACAAAAATAGGGGGCGCCTAGGTGGCTCAGTCAGTTAAGTGTCCCACTCTTGATTTCGGCTCAGGTCATGATCTCAGGGTTGTGAGATCGAGCCCCACATGGGGCTCCGCGCTCAGTGGGGAGTCTGCTTGAGATTCTCTCTCTCCCTCTCCCTCTGCCCCTCCCCCCACTCACTCATGCTCTCTGGTGCTCTCTCTAAAATAAAATCTTTAAAATAAATTAAATCTTTAAAAAAAAAATAGCAAAAATAGTTTCTCTCTTGTGCCAGCTCTGATCACTTGGTTGTGACCACATACATGCGTGGTGAGAATGATTCTGAGGTGGGACCAGCGCAAGAGAAAAAGAGCCACACCATCGATAACATCCACTACAGTGCAGGACAGTGACAACACGAGTGCCAAGGCCAGTCCTCTTCTAAAAAATATATTATGTGCATTGCATTTTAAATAATTGATTATGAAGTATTTGAAGCATACAAGAAGGTATGCAAAACAATACAATGAACACCCGTGTATCCTCCACTCAGCTTCAGAAATCAGATACTTCCAATATGATTAGAGCCCTGTATGAATTTCTTCCTTACCTCAAAGTAACCACTGTCCGAAGATGATGTTTCTCATCTTTATTCATTTTGTTACTTTCATTATATATGCATGCATCCCTATGTGGTGTATAATTTTGCACATGTTACACTGTATTTAAGTGGTGCTTATTATATGCCTTTGCCACTTGCTTGTTTGCTTAACATTATATGTGGGATTCATCCAGGCAGATGCATGGAGACTTAGTTCATCCCATCTTCACTGCTGTCAGGATTAATTTAAGTGGACCCACGTGGCTAGTGCCATGGACACCTGCTAGAAGCAAAAAGCTAATTCCCTCTGCAGAGATGCACCCTTAAATCAGGCTTCACTGGATCTCAGAGACTGAAATCCAGAAGTCCAAAACATAAGCAATAAACAGCAGAATCAGACCCTCAGAAATCTGAATAATATAGATATGGGATATAAATTAATCTTTAAAATTTTAAATCCATTAAAGAATAAATTAGAAACTATGAAAAAAAAAGATTCACTGAAAAACAAAAAAAAGAGAGACCAGGCAGCAAGAATTCTGGGAAGCTGGTACTGGCAATGGTCTAGTTTAGCATGTCTACTAACAAAATAAGTGTGCTTAAAATATGATACATTTAAAGTTAATAAAAATAAAGCCAGAAGCCTCAAACATCTTACCTCTGAAAAATCATTCCTTTCTGCTTTTCGCACTGCGGATTCTGCCATCCAGTTCTTCAGTACATACCTAGGATTAACAGCTTAAGGGGGTGGGGGGAAGCATGTTTTGGAACAATAAATTACTAAGTCCATACAGGCCATATGAAATTATCCCCCAAATTAGATAAGCTTTAAGAACTGTGCTAGAGGGGCACCTGGGTGGCTCAGTCATTAAGCGTCTGCCTTCGGCTCAGGTCATGATCCCAGGGTCCTGGGATCGAGCCCTGCATCGGGCTCCCTGCTCCGCGGGAAGCCTGTTTCTCCCTCTCCCATTCCCCCTGCTTGTGTTCCCTCTCTCGCTGTGTCTCTCTCTGTCAAATAAATAAATAAAATCTTAAAAAAAAAAAAAAAAGAACTGTGCTAGAATGTATGGTGATTAACGTAACAAAATAAAATTAAATTAAAAAAAAAGAACTGTGCTGGAAGGTGCAAATGAGAAGAAACGATCAGCATCAGTCCATTTCTATTGTTTACAAACAATGTACACTGTCTATTATGGTACAGAAAACACTTTTTGAAGCGTTATGAGCAATACTGTATTTGGTTTTTCTCTTCGGTGTTTCATCATTACTTTGGTTTTTTCACCATGTTCAGTTCACTAAGCACTTTCTAAAGCATGGAGAAAGTAGTGAATGCATCTGAATTAGGCCCTTTAGCCTAAGTGGAGGAGGCAGGGGAAAGAAGTTGCTGCTTTTAACATCTTTAAGCTCAGAATTCAGGTCCTACTTAGTAGGACTGCTTAAAGTTAATGCTGCCAAGAGCAAACATGAAAGGTTACATGCAGGCAAAACTCTTTATAAATTTATATTTTTGATAGTAACCACACATTTTGTCATTTTAAAGGTATTATAATAATGGCACATTTAGAAAAATTCCAGAAACTACGTCTTCAGTTGAGATGAGTCTTTTCCAAAATAATTTATCAACTGAATGGAAAGGAGGGATGCTTCTCCCCACTAGCACAACAGAAATTCCAGGAATCATCATTTTGTGATTCTCAACAGTTTGCTGAGCTACTTGAATGGAGGAAACATACAAATTCCCTTTCAACTTGGTTTTAACAATCTACCAAGTTATGACATATAATCTAATGTTATAAGAAGTGCCCTGTGACCCAGTAATTCTGTAGGAACATAGTCTATGAAAACAAATTTAAACATAAAAAAAAAGTATTATTTATATTAAGGAAAACTAGAAACAATTTAAATACTTAGTAGGGGAATAGTTAAGTAAAACACTCCATACCCTTTCAAAGAAATATTATGCAGCCGTTAAAAGTGTTACATTATAAAGAATGAAGCAGCAAGGGAAAATGCCTTATTTACTTTTAGTAGAAAAAAAAAAAAGAAAGACCTAAATTATACCATTGTATGACTACTACTACATTTTTCTCCTAATCAATACACACAGAAAAAGAGAGACTAGAAGTAAATGCAAAAAGTAAATAATAACTGTGTTTGGGAAAACGGGATTTTTTTTTTTTTTTAGTCTTTCTATAAGTTTGCATTTTTCAAATTTTAAAGAATTCATATAGTACTTGTTTAAAACAAGACACATATACACAGAAAATACAATCTTTAAACAAAAAGGAAACTAACATGCAAGGGGAATTGTGGAAATGCTCAGCGTAGGCAGAGGGAGAGCGGAGCCTTCCAATGAAAAGTTTGACAAATTTGACAAACACTGCCTAGATACCTGGCAATGAAATACTGTTAAAATATACGAGAAATTTCAGCTACAAGCAGAAGTGCTTTGGAACAAGTTATAAATATACAAACTACTTGAAAATCAGAAAATTATAGATCTGTTTATAAGATTGTTTGAGGAGTTATTGGATTCTGTACATTTTTATCTAGTTGGGAGTTTTCTGTTGGTGGGTTATTTCTTTTGGCAATAAAATTTTAAGCAGTGGGTTAGTGAGGATTCTGTCCACACACACACCCTGCCAGAGTTCCATGTAATGTGGTAATCCCTGATCCACTAGAGTGTTGACTACTTATGGGCAGGGCTCAAATTCATCTTTGTAGTTTCAGCTTTAAACAGTGTGACTGTACAAAAAGGGGCATGTAATAGGGGCTAAGTATATGTTTCTGAATAAGCAAATTTAGTGCTGGAAGAGATTTAAGACTATGTTTTACTGACCACATCATAATATAAATAAAGCACGTCATTGCTACCATACAAATGGAAAAAATCAACGTATCAGAAAGCCAGCAGACTCGATGGCCATAAAACACTGAACTCTTCAAATTATTAAACGCAATTAATCTCTCATAGGCTGGCAATGAAACTGGAAAATGGTAGTTCTATTTATCATTTATCTAACTCAGTAAAAATAAATCTTACTTTCATTGTTAGTTATTAAAATACTTTAAGAGAAAAATTATTACAAATGTAGCATCTTCCATTATTCCTTCTCTCTGTCTCTCTATTTTAATGTCCAGGAGGAAGAATGAAGAAGGAAATTTTTCTTTTATTCTATCATCTACAAAAGGTCAGCTCTGAAATATCTACTTGAGGTCACAATTTAAATTTATACTATCACCTTAACTGAGAGCACTTTCACCTTGATTCCCAAATGATCTTGCTTAATTTCTACTGAGAGTCCTCAGCGCACAAAGGAAATGTCTCTGACTTGCAATCATACTAGCATTCTCTTTGTTTCTTTTCCAAAAGAGAGAAATTTGGGCTGAGCCGATCCCAGTCGGGGCCAATTCGTTCTCCACGATCACTGGGCATATGGCTGTGTCTCCAATGAGGCTCAAACCCAGGATTTCAACATAGTTGGCCTTGAGCTCTAATAACCTGTGTTCTGAGGACAAGTAAAGATTCTTCGGAGCATGTGCCACACATTCACTACTAGGCACAAAGAAAGCAGAATTACACTGATGCATTTTCAGAATCACAACCAAATTAGTTTTATTGTAGAGGTAGCTGTTTTAGAGCTTTTTAATATCTCCCCCCAGCAATATAAACCCAATCGCATCATGCTGGAGATACAATGGACACTGTCAGGGCACAGTACTGACAGTAATCAAAAGCATTTCTCAAACAAAATTTTACTATGATCTTGGGCTGGGTGGGCACAATGTGACACAGAAGAGAAGTGATCAATGCCTTCTGGTGGCTTATGATCATAGAGTTATTTGGAGGCCTAAAAATTATAAATTTTATAGGTTTGGTTTTTTTTTTAATTCTAAGACCTTTAAAACACTCACCTTTGATGTTCCCATTGCTCGCAACTTGGAGCATTTACAAAAAATTTTAAAGCAAATCTTCCCCCTGGAACCCCTGGCTGGCTTAGTTGGTAGAGCATGCAACTCTTGATCGCAGGCTTGTGAGTTCGAGCCCCCACACTGGGCGTAGAGCCTACTAAAAAAAAAAAAAATCTTCCCCTAATCTACTATTGATTTTTTTTTTAATGTTTTGAAACAATATACAACAGCAATATATTTTTAGTCTTTTGGTTGCTAAAAAACATAGTCATCCCAGTCTTCCCAACAAAGATATTTAATGTACTCTATACTAACGTAATAGCTGATACTTATTGAGTACTTATTATGTGCCAACTACCATCTCCTGATTTTGTGCAACAATCCATGATGTAAATGCATTTTATAGATGAGGAAACAAAAGCGAAGTCAAATGGATAGAATTGTTTTAAAACTGGACTGTCATGATTGCACAGTTTTTTAAATTTAGTTTAAAAAATCACTGTACACTTAAAATGAATGAACTTTGTGATGTAAATTATACCTCCATAAAGCCACTAAAAAAGTATATATACACACCAGAAAGAGAAAAAGAGGGATGAAGGAATCGAGTGACCTGCTTAATAACATCTAGGAAATAAATGGCCGAACCAGAGCTCAGGTACAGCTGGTCCAACTCCGGGGGCCAGACCATACTGCCCCTCTAAGGAAAAGAAACTCAGGTCAAGAGCTGAGAAATGAAGACCCTAGAAGGGAAATGAAGATTCAGACTTCACTACACTGGACACTCTTCTTAGATATTTTATTTCTTCATGCCTGTTCAGTTCTTCAATTCCACATCCCTGATACACACTGTTACATGAATTTGTGCAATTTCTTACATATTTGCATTTTCCTATCAATTAAATATATAGTAATAATGTATGGAAGTGTACCTTTAAAAAAATAACTGCACTATCATTATGAACTTTTATCAGACCACTGCTCTTTGTGGAAATTTATCTTTTTCCTTTCCTTGAGAGCACATTGTTCAGCACTTATTTCTCTAAAATAACTGAAAGCTGCAGCCTTGAGTTCATTAAATTTCTTTCATTTACCACCTCATCCATCCTGTCATAACCAAACAAATCCAAATACTAAAGACTGTCACCACATGTTAGTCTCCCAATTTCTTCTTTCTCTTAACTGCTGAGTGTCCACATTCTGAACTGGCTTATAAATTCTGTATGACTGCACCAGTGGACAGAAGTGGCTGGCAACGAAGAGATCACTCACTTTCCTGTAAAAGCTAAACTTGGGTTTTTTTAAAAAGATTCTATTTATTTATTTGACAGACAGAGAGCAAGAGAGCACAAGCAGGGGGAGCAGCAGAGGGAGAGGGAGAAGCAGGCTTCCCACTGAGCCGGGAGTCCGAGGCAGGGCTCCATCCCAGGACCCTGGATCATGACCTGAGCCAAAGGCAGCCCCTTCACAGACTGAGCCACCCAGGCACCCCTAAACTTGGTTTTATTTCTATAATAATGTCCTGAGTTCAAGAAGCAATCTCACTCCCTAACCTAACATGGAATGTTAGCATCATCCTTATTTCATTCACACAAAATTGGCCACCCCGATGACACACATTAGCTCTCTATGCAAGTCCTAAGTAAGGCAACAGGAATCAAGGACCTTGGACCTACTGTCTGAACATCTTTGATCTTGTTAGAATCCACACTGTAGAAAGAACTAACTTCCATCTTTTTCTTTTCCAAACCAAGTGTGAAGTCACATGGTAAACTGAAATTGATACATAGAGATAATTTCTTTTTAGAGCTATCACTTACTGGATGTGTAGTATGGCCCATGCACGATAACAGGATACTTTATATATATTATTGCTCATCATTACAACATCGCTGCAAAATATCCCCATTTTATAATAGCTAAGGGCCTTGAAACTCAGAGTTAAGTATCTTGCAGATCATGCAGCTAAAAGGTAGCAAGATGAGATTCATCTGCCAGATCCGCAAACTCACATTCTTGCCACCATAACCCAAACTACCTTGTCTCTCTACCATCTTATAGGACAATATTATTTTAACATCAGTATGCAAACTGTTATACTGTTAAAGGTCATTTAGAAAAGCTCACAGATGACACTTCAACTAAAATGTACTTAACTAGAATTATTCTAGTTAAAAACAAGCCAAAAAAAAACCCCAAAAAACAAAAAACAACCCTTGGTTGTTACTCAAGTAATTACTTCAAGTAATTTATAGATGAGTAATTACCTCAAGTAATTACTTCCAGCTTTCAAAAAAATGTTGCTTTTATGTGATAATCCTTAAAGTTGAAAAAATCAAAAGGTTTACTCACTTGTCATTCTTTTTCTTCTTTCAGAATCTGAATCATTCATGTTACTAACAAAGAATAAAACAAAGGACAAGATTAACCATTGTCTTCTCCTATCTTTTTTTCAAAAAGGTGGGAATTATTTCACAAGACAAATATTGGGGAAAAAAACATTTAAAAATCACATTGAATCAGTGGTCTGAAAGGAAGACAGAAAATACTGAGTTTGATTACATAACATATAAAATACTACCTTGTTTAGGTATTTTAGCTAATCCCAAACCTTTTATTTTTACAAATTAAAAAAAGTTTTGTCTAAAAAAAATCTAAATTGTCTGATACCTTTCTTTATCTTAAACAGTTTTCTAAAAATAATTCCATTTTTTCTTTTCTTGATTAATCATGGTCATCTTTATAAACAGCCCTCAGGGGCAATTAAACTGGGAAGGACTATTTCTCCCTGTCTCTCCCTTCAGAGACCACTACCTACAATGTCTTTACTCCCAAGTTTGTTGCTTCTACTTCACTGTAATTTATGAAGCAAAGTAACGTCTTACAAATGTATACGATGTGACCACTAATAGTCTAGAAGCCTGAGGAGCTCTCCTCCAGAGCTTCAGGGCATGGGCTCTCCGGGGCACCTGGGGAAGCAGCATTATCAGAATTGAGGTGAACAGACCTGTGCTGTCTCCATGGGTGAGGTGTTGCCATGGACGCCTCAGCGGGTGCAAAGTACCCAGGAGTAAAAAGGAAATGATGGAAAGTTGAAGGAAGACTCGATGGGTTACCTCTGCTAAAGTAATCCATCACATGCTTTTTCAGAAGTGGTTAGATTACCTTACCTCTTCAGTCTCAAAAGGTACTGGGACACCCAGGCAGGAAAAAGCTTGTGCTCTGAAATCATCTTCAGTGCCCAGAATTGCTAAGTGAAAATGCAGTAATAGGCCGCTTATTATATTAATATTGGTTCTGTTTATTTTAACTTCATGTTACTTTAAATTATGTTCTTTAATAATAACTTGTAATATCCAGATTTTTTAAGACATGCTATTTCAAGTAGAAGTAGACCTAAAAAAGAATAATAGTTTCCTTTTCTTTATATGACATTCAACTCTAAAATTCTAATTCATGGAAATTCATGTAATGGCATGATTTAAGATAAACCAAGTCCTTATAGAGATTACATGTGAATACTTGTTATCCAAAAGCCTTCCTTTAAATAATGTATAATTTACTTTTAAAAACTTAATTTGCAACTGCATTGTATTTAGTCATCTATTAATTCATTCAACAAATATTTATGGAATGTCAACGCTGCTCTGGGAATTGTTAGGTGGGAAGGATTTAAAAATTAATAAGACATGATTCCACTCCTAGTATCTGTCCAAGAGAAATGAAAACATATGTTCACACAAAAACTTGTACATGAGTGTTCAGAGCAGTATTTATTCACAATAACCAAGAAGTGGCAATGATCCAAATGTCCATCAACTGGTAAATGGATCAGCAAAAGATGGTATATCCATACCGTAGAGTACCACTCAGTGACAAAAAGGAAAGAACTGCTGATACAGGTAACAATATGGATGAACCTCAAAACTTGGCTAATGAAGAAGCCAAGTGCAAAAGACCACATTTTGTATGATTCCATTTATAAGAAATGTCTAGAAAGCGAAAACCTTGAGACACAAGGTAAATTAGTAGCTGCTTGGGGCTAGGAGTGGAAACAGGGATTAACTGCAAATGGGCACAAAGGATCTTTATTTTAGGGTGATGGAACTGTTCTAGAATCAAATTGTGGTGATAAATGCATAAATCTGTAAATTATAAAAAAATCACTGAATTATATACATAAGGTCAGTGGAATTTTATGACATGTAAATAATACCTCAATACATCTGATAAAGAAAACTTAATTAAGAGAAAACCAAATGTCACAAATGACTACCTGGGGAATGTTGAGCTCCTCTAACTGGCTTTGGGTAATCTCGCTGAGCTGCCGAAATGTCATTGTAAAATCAGCTTCTGCCTTTTCCATGAGCTAATGAGAATAATTATGTTTATCAATCTCAAGTCTTCAAGAATATGCTGATTAGTAATTCAAAAGTTAGTCAGAAAAAAAAAAGATAAAATGACAAACTCACATGTAAGAGAAATGCAATTAAATCATCATCACCCTTCCTCTCTCCAAGTAACCCCAGTTTGGCTTTGAACAAGTCTCTAAATCTGAAAGAGAAATGTCAATTCAGTTCAACTCTCACTATTTTAAGAACTGTCCTCAAACCAACCAGGATGCTTTAATATCCCTAATCAAAAGGACAAACCTTGTATAATAAAGAACTGGATACCCCTCAAGAATCTGAGCAGCTCTACAGGGAGAAAAAAGGAAAGACAATTAAACTTGATTTAAAATTAACATTCTTGAATCACATTTTACAAGAACAAAGTGAACCTTTTCACATGTGAAATACAAATATGGTAATTATATTTATCAATCTCAATTCATATGTTTCATAAAAATATAAAGATTAAAGCATTCTTAACCTTTTTTTTTTAAAGATTTAATTTATTTATTTGACAGAGAGAGACACAGCGAGAGAGGGAACACAAGCAGGGAGAGTGGGAGAGGAAGAAGAAGGCTCCGCACTGAGGAGGGAGCCCAATGCAGGGCTTGAACCCAGGACCCCGGGATCATGACCCGAGCTGAAAGCAGATGCTTAACAACTGAGCCACCCAGGCGCCCCAAAGCATTCTTAACCTTAAATTCATCTTGAAACAAATTAAGTTTCTATTTCTTAATATTCTTAAATGTATTTTAAATCATATAAAAGCTCAACTCATTCTGAAGCTCCACTGCCTTTACCTCACTGAACTCATCCCGTGTAAGTTTTCCCCTCGCTCATTCTGAGGCAGCCACAGGAGCCTCCTTGCTGTTCCTTAAACGCCCCCCACACACCTGCTCGGGGCCTTTGCACAGGCTGGTCCCTCGCCTGGAGCACTCTTCCCCCAGGCATCCATGTGGCTTGCTCCTGTGACTCCTTCAAGCCTTTGCTTGAATGAGGTACTGACCATCCTTTTAAAACTGCAGACCTTCCCTCTCTTTATTCCCTATCCCTTGCTTTATTTTTCTCCATTGTATTTATCTCCTTCTAATAAGCTACATAACTTATTTATTCTGCTTGACTGCCTCTCCCACCAGAAGTAAGTACCACAAGGGCCCAATTAACATGCTGTTTGATTCACTGCTGTCCCCTTAGTACTTAGAACAGTGTCTGGCACATACTGAGCACCTCAATAAATATTTGTTGAACGAATAAATGAACTCTGCAAGGCAAAAGGGATATAAAATTCATGGAGACAAGAGTGACTGCTTAATGAATATTGTTTTATATTGCTTTGATTTTCAACTATGATATACTACCAATATATTTTTGAATTATATTAATTAAGGAAACCACAGATCATATATAAAACTCATCTTTATTGTAGTAATCCTTTTTGCTACCTAGGGTTAATGAAATTACTATACGCTTTGCCTTCCACTTGGGATCTTGTACTGGAAATGGCCAATTTTAGATTTGGGGGAGGAGTGGGGAAGAGAGTCAAGTTAAATATGCTATCTTCAAAAAAATATATATATATATATGCTTTATCTTCTAGCAAATGCCTTAGAGACACAGAAATGATTAAAATGTGATCCTGCCCTCAAGGAGTTCAATTCCAGTGGTTATGTCAAGAAATATCTTAACATTCTATGTAATTATTAATGTACTTAGATTATTATTCATGCTTATTTGTATACATATGCGAGATATTTCAAGTAACTAATTATAAACATTACAATGTTGCCTATTATTTATTCTGTTGTTTAAAAAGGCAACCATGTACACTTGTTTCTTCAGCCTGAATTCAGAATGAGAGATCACACAATAGTCAGACTGAGATTAAAAATTCAGCTTTAGGGGCTCCTGGGTGGCTCAGTCGTTAAGCGTCTGCCTTCGGCTCAGGTCATGATCCCGGGGTCCTGGGATGGAGCCCCACGTCTGGCTCCTGGCTCAGCTGGGAGCCTGCTTCTCCCTCTCTCTCTGCCTCTCCCCCTGCTCATGCTCTCTCTCTCTCTGTATCTCTGTGTCTCAAATGAATAAAAAAATCTTTAAAAAAAAAAGTTCAGCTTTATTATTGATGAAAGCTAATCTCAAAAATATGGCTTAAGTCTATGGATAATCAGCATGTTAATATATTGTGCCTAAATTAGAAAGATTTGTTCACTCAGTTACTAGAATAACAGTTATAACTATGGGTCTCCCCCATTTGGGCACACCCCTGTAAACTCTTCATATAAAAAAGCAGAAAATGTAGGCTTTCTCTGGTCAGGCACATCTCCGAAAAGAGAGGTATTACTAGGATGAGCCACACATGTTTAGTTTCTTCTCCCAAATTCATCAAATGGATCATTAACCCTTTGTCCCCCGGAGAGGAGTAAGTGGAGCCAGAGAAGGACTGTGTACTCTAAGGAAGCCCCCCCACCCCGCCCCAACTGCAGGGAACCACAAGAAGGGGAATAAGTGATTTCCTTTAAAAGTCTTCAAGGCCAAACACTAAACCAGAGATGTCAAAGGAAGATGGCGGTTCAAATGAATTTTGGGTACCTGCCCTTCCCTGCTCTAATTCAGCCCCTGTGCTGGGCCTCAGAGCTTCAGGGGCCTGGAGGAGGCAGGCAGGCCTGGAGGGTCTGAGCAAGGCTGCAGGCCTGGAGGGTCTGAGCAAGGCTGCAGGCCTGGAGGGTCTGAGCAAGGCTGCAGGCCCTCATTCTTGAGGTACAGCATGGCCAAGCAGAGCAAAGACATTAAGGGCCCTATCTGTATAAATGTTAACTGCAAAAAATCAGTGGGCTTCCTGGCTTCCAAGCGGCTACAGGAGAGCTGCTAAAACCTCTCTACCCCCGAAGGTGGGAGAATGTTAGCCTTGACTGCTTGGGAGAGCTGGGAGCAGAGAGGCAGCCTACGAGAGGCCCAGTGGAGAGCTGAAAACTTGCCTGCAGGTATTCTGCCAGCCCATGAAAGGGGTATGACTGCTTAACTGGAGCAGAGCCCCAATGGAGAGGCAAAGGAAAATAATGCAGTGCCTAAGTGTTTTCCTCTCATACCCAGAGAGAGGAAAAACAAAAGAAGGCCAGAACAGTTGGCTCCTAGTACAATGGAACAGCCAGTGGAGACAGATAACAATATGAAAAAAATAACAAGACACTTCAGAAGAATAAACTGTGCCTCAGGAGACCTTCTGGAACTGCAAGATAGTATTTCAGACTACAAAATTCAGTGGAAGAATTGAGGGGGATAATGTTACTCTTGAGACTCAAATTTAGTGACCTAGGAAATCGGGAAGAAGAAATACTACAAAACACTATTCAGTGGGCACCTGGATGGCTCAGTCAGTTAAGCATCTGCCTTCGGCTCAGGTCATGATCCCAGGGTCCTGGGAGTGAGCCCCGCATGGCCTCCCTGCTCAGCAGGGAAGCCTCCTTCTCCCTTCCCTCTGCCTCCTCCCCCTGCTTGTGTTCCCTCTCTCTCTCTGTCAAATAAATAATTCTTTTTTAAAAAGTGTATAAAAAACACTATACAAAAATACAAAGAAACGGAAAGCATAAGGAAAAAAGTAAGAGACTTGGGGACATACGGAGGATTCATACAAAGAATGGAGTGCCAGAAGCACAAAAAGGAATGGAGGAAAAGTCAACAGTTAAGCAACAGCAGAGATTTCTCTCGCTGGGGATGTGGTTACAGTCAGAGAAGCAGAACCACTATTGGCGCCAGAGGACAAGGGGTGTATCTTAGGGATTCGACCTTCCGTGATCGTGGGAGCCGGTGAAGAATGGCATATCGTACTGTTGCTTCTGTGTCTGGTTTTGGGGCTCAACGTCAGCAGCGAGGAGAGGACAGAAAATTGGATGTGAAACTGGAGACAGTGAAGACAAACCGGAATGTACACAAACTGAAACCCATGTCTAAACCCCAAGCGTCCAAGCTCAGTGGTGCAGGTCAGCTGCAGGATGAGCCAGTGCCCCTCAGCCCAGAGCAGTACACACCCCAGCCCAGGACTCCACTTGGCTCTCTCCCCACCCCAGCACGATGAAGCAGCAGACGGACGGCAATGCGCGGGAGCGGCAGGGGGGCCTGACTCTAGCCCAGCCTTCCGGGTGGAATGGTGCTGCTGCCTCACTTCCACCTTCCGGATGCCGCAAACTTCTCTTGGGCCAGAACCATACAGGGAAGGGGAATTTGGAGTGTAGCTAAGCTGATACAACGTAAGGCCCCTACGCTTTACAGTTCTGACTAATGTGAAAAGAGAGAGGTGATGTGCACAAATGCTGACATGTACCCTTCAGTAGCGAGGACCTGCCTCTTTTCTTCTTCTCCATGCTGCCACACAGAATTTGGATGTTACAGACAGTGCCCCATCTCAGACCCTGAGGACTACACGCAGTGCAAGGCGGGATGAAAAGCTGAAAGCAGTCTGAGACTCAGACAGCAGAGTCCCCACTCCAGCCCTCAATTACCAACCTGCACACTTTCATGGGAGAGAAAAACGCATGTCCATCTTGCTCAAACTACTATTATTTTGGGTTTCTGTTACATACAAGTGAATCCATAATCTAATACCCTACGTCTCAATTATCTGTCGGAGTAAAATAAAAACAGTAATAGTTATGTAAGAATTCAGAAAATATATCACCTCTATACCCCAGTAAATAATAGAGTAATCAAAACAGAGACTTCAAGATGGAACCATGAATAAAAAGCAGTGGCCAGCAGTGAAATGATTAGAAATATGTGCATGTGCGGGTGGGGGAAGCGCAAGGGCAAGGACTCCTAAGATGGGAGAGATACACTTCAAGGAAAAACCTACAATAGTCTGAATTCAAAATACTAAGCTATCTTATTAGCAAAATCTAGCAGTTGGGTACTTAGAGGTAAAACATAAAAGCATTCTGAGTCTCATTGAGATGGAGGGGGAAAACAATAAGCCAATAGAATCTTAGTGAAGGAAAACTATTTGGAAACTCATTTTCCCATAACAGTAGAGAAAGTGGCAGAAAAAGGAAGATAATTAGCAGTGGCGGGTGGAGAATACAGTAGTTTCCAAATCAAGGTGGGGGGGATGATGAATGAACTGCTCAAATCATAAAAAGATAAGTAAAGTCCATGGGGGGGGAACTGATACATAAAATAAAGATAAAGCATGATGTAAGGCAGGAATAAAATCAGTTTTTTACAATAAATATGAACAGCCTACATACTTCTATTAAGACAGAAACCATCATATTGAATTAAAACCTGGCTATATGTGTTGTTTGTTTTTACAAGAAACATACTTTAAAACAAAGTGATAAAGGTATAAAAACAAAGTGAGACTCAAGGCACATCCAACAAAAAGAAAGCACGAATCATAATATTAATACCATATAAATTGAAATTTGGAGTTAAAAGGATAAATCAAGATAAGGGGGGTGATTATGTTGGGCTAAAGGGCACTTTTTTTTTTTTAAGGAAATATAAGTAAAAATCTGTACGTACCAATAATACAACAGCAAAATATGCAAATTTAAAACAATTACAAAAAACTACTTAGTAAAAATACAGTTAAAGTGGGAGATTTTAATACACATCTCTTATGTATCAAATTTATCAAATTTATCAAATAGATAAAAAAATAGAGTCATAAAGGTCTTGAATAATATATTCAATACACTTAATTTGATATAGTAAAACTTTTGACTACAGAGTATACATTCTTTTGTTTGATCATGAAATATGCACAAAATTCATTATGTTGGGGCCACAAAGAAACCTTAACACATTTTAAATAGATTTTACCAAACACATATAAAAATATATGAATAAAATGATCCCAACTATTAAATATTAAGAAAAACAGTGATAAATAACCCTTAGATCAAAGAAGAAATAAACAAAATTTCACAACACCTAAAAAGCAATAAATAGGAAACACTTTATCCTGATAACTGTGGGAAAAAGCCAAAACTCTACTAGAGAAAAATACACAGTTTGAAATGCCTTCATTATTAAAGACTAAATAATAAGATGGTTTTTAAAATGTTAGCTTCAAAAAATGATCATTATACAAACTGTATTTTCATACAGATTTAATTAGTGGATTTAGGATTTACTCACAGCTGCTTTTGCCTAGGATCCAGTAATGGGTTTAAAGTTTGCAACAACTTGTTTAAATTAAACATCCCAACATTGGCCTGATTTCCTATTTTATATCTTCTTTCATCATCAGATGTGTTTGGGACAAAATCTGTTTAAAATAAAAAATATTAGCATTTTTTAGTGGAGATAATTGTAATAAACAAGCTCTCTCTAAGTTTATATTTAAATTTAATAAATTTATATTCATTAGATATGTTCACATTTATTAAATCTTTCTGACATTAAACATTTAACTAAAAAAGTAACATAAACACTTACTACCCATACACATGAAATTCTTTTTCAATATGAATATTTGCCTAATAGAGGAATACAATTCTAATATGTAAGAATTTTCAAGTGATCAGGGGCACCTGGGTGGCTCAGTTGGTTAAGCGTCTGCCTTTGGCTCAGGTCATGATCCCAGGGTCCTGGGATCGAGTCCCGCATCAGGTTCCCTGCTCAGCGGGGAGTCTGCTTCTCCCCCTCCTTCTCCCTCTGCTCCTCTCCCTGCTCGTGCTCGCTCTCTCTCTCTCTCTCTCTCCCCCAACTAAATAAAATCTTTAAAAAAAAGAATCTTCAGGTGATCATAAATGTACTTCAAACTCCACCTCAAGTATCACATCCTCCACAAAGCCCACTTGGATCCCTCCTTGTAAGGACTGTGTTACTATGGCCTCCATTTTATAGGTTGGTAAAGTGAGAAGATAAGTAACTTGTCCAGGGAAGGGCACAGAGCCACTATGACTCAGATGCCGGAAGTCAAACCTGCATCTGTCTCTCACAGGTTCCCTACTACCCTCCCTGTCATCTTCTCTAATATGTGATTCCTTAAGGGCAAAGACCACAAAGGGCTCATTTTTGTATCCCTGTAGCACCTGGAACATTGAGTACCACATAAAATGACCATTTTATGAATGAACCCAATTCTTTCTACTACCCCATCACTGTATTAGCTATAACAATTTATCTAAAATAAACTTGTAATCACTTTTTAGTGAAATAAGATATATGTGTGTATACACATACATATTTACATATAAATCACACATACCTGGGTTATAGGCTTCCATAAAACCAAATGGGCCATAGTCAATTGTAATGGATAACAAACTGAAGTTATCGGTATTACAAACACCTGAAACCACAACAAAAAGATTCCAAAAACGTGGTAATAAAATAATAAGGCATTTTTTAAATGTATAAAATTATTCAGAATAGAAAAGGCAATGGAAATGCACTTGTTTTAGAAGTGAAACAAAATTAGATTATCAATTGAAAGTTTAACTGGGGGTGCCTGGGTGGCTCAGTCGTTAAGCGTCTGCCTTCGGCTCAGGTCATGATCCCAGGGTCCTGGGATCGAGCCCCACATCGGGCTCCCTGCTCTGTGGGAGGCCTGCTTCTCCCTCTCCCACTCCCCCTGCTTGTGTTTCCTCTCTCGCTGTGTCTCTCTCTATCAAATAAATAAATAAAATCTTTAAAAAAAAAAAGAAAGTTTAACTGTTGATGTCAAATAACTTAATAGATATCAAAACTACATCTTTTAACTAAATTTAGCCTTTTGTTTTATACCCCACCCCCACAAAGATTTCAAATAGCGCAGGAACAAAAGCCCCAAAAATACAACTTCTTCTTACTTATCCTCAGTTTCTTCCATTTGTTTTTAAAAATGTAAGTTACTTGGAATGGAAATGAAACTAGTAAAGGAATAAGATGAATTCATTTCCAAAGGATGGGAAAAGGGGGAAATATGGATATGTTCCCCATTACAGTCCTCAGCTGCAGACCACTAGCAGACTGGGGAGGGAGTGTGCCCTCCCAGGCAAGGGGGCTAGGGCTAGCTGCCGGAGTGTGGGGTAGGAGGAAGCCAGGGAACAGATACACCAGCCTAATACAGGGTATTTGGCAACTGCGTCCAATATAGGGTTTCAACCTTTTTCAGAGTAAGATGGCCCTGTTTATCAAAATGTTAAATGTACAGACTCTCTAACCCAGCCATTCCACATTAGGGGTTTGTCCTCAAAAGTTACCTTCAGGAATATGAAGATACAGTTGCAAGGTAGTTGTTGTGCTATGGTTCAGAATAGCAAAAACTATGAAACACCTACCCCGCTCTCCCCCAACCCACCCCAAGAGAGATACATAGAGTCTGTGTCTGATAAGCAAGCGGATTTCAAGAAGTTTTGCAATGTGGGATTCCCTTTTGGTATTTATCTAGAGACATCAGAACATACGTGATTTGTTTTTCAGTTATTCTTAGTTCAGGCAGATAGTCCTTCCTATGCAACTTCACAACTTCAAACACACAAGACAGCCCTGCTTTTTTCATAGGAGGTGTACGAATGTCATCCCCAAAAAGCCCAAAAGAATTGATACGAAATGGTTACTAATGATTACCCTGGAGAATGGAATTCACACTCACTTCTGTATACTTCCAATTCTTTTTTTTTTTTTTTTACAATTTTTTTATTTATTTGAGAGAGAGAGTGAGCCAGAGAGAGAGAGAGCACACAAGCATGGGTGAGGGGAGGGGGAGAGGGAGAAATGGACTCCCCACCAAGCAGGGAGCCAGACACAGGACTCAATCCCAGGCCCCTGAGATCATGACCTGAGCCCGAGGCAGCCACTTAACCAACTGAGCCACCCAGGTGCCCTATACTTACCATTCTTTATCAAAAGCATGCAGTGCTTTTACAATTAAGATTTTTTTTTTTTAAAGATTTTATTTATTTATCTGACAGATAGAGAGACAGCGAGAGAGGAAACACAAGCAGGAGGAGTGGGAGAGGGAGAAGCAGGCTTCCCGCGGAGCAGGGAGCCCGATGCGGGGCTCGATCCCAGGACCCTGGGATCATGACCCGAGCCGAAGGCAGACGCTTAACGACTGAGCCACCCAGGCGCCCCTTACAATTAAGATTTTATAAACAGCTTTAAAGAGACCTAAATATAATACATGTAGCCACAATGTTGAAAAGATTTACAGGCTGGGGCGCTTGGGTGGTTCAGTTGGTTAAGCATCCAACTCTTGATTTTGACTCGGGTCTTGATCTTGGGATTGTGAAATCAAGCCCAGCTTCTGGAGTCAGGCTCTGAGCTCAGCCTGGAGTCTGCTTGTCCCTCTTCCTCCCCCTCTGCCCCTCCCCCTGCTCACTCATGCTCTCTCTAAAATCAATCAATCAATCAAATCTTTTTTTAAAAAAGAAAGCTATGCAGGTAATAACATCCTTGTTGAATTGAGGATGCTTATTCTATTTTGTGTATACTGTTCCATTCAAAACCATTTTAAACACAAGAAAATTGTTTCTCTGTTGCTAAGAGCCAATTCATATATCGTAAATGTTAAGAAGCTCATCAGCGGGAATATTTAAAAGTACACAAAAAAGAAGTCCTCTGGTTCAACAAATTAACTCTACTTTCCCATCAGGAAAATGAAACATCAGTAGATGACTTACCATGAGCAAAACCAACAGACATCCACAAGGCAATGAGTTGTGCCGTCTTTGATACCACAATAGAGAAAAAATCCTAAAATAAAATTCAGAAATTTTTCAGATTTTCAGGAATGTATACTCTTTTAGGATCTTCTGCTAAGTCACAAGGAGAACATGGAAAGAATTCAGAATGCCAGAAGATGACTAAAGGAATGGAAATTAGCTGATGTACGAAAAAAATGGAAGAACGTAGAATTAGTCACCGAGAAATAATATATAAAGGCTCAGACACAGTAATAATGACCAGGCTTTCTCCATGTCCAGTAAGAACAGGAAATGCATTAGAATTCAGCACAAGGGAGGTAAATGTAAGCAAAATGAATTCTTTTTTTTTTTTTTTTTTTTTAAAGATTTTATTTATTTATTTGAGACAGAATGAGAGAGAGAGAGCACATGAGAGGGGGGAGGGTCAGAGGGAGAAGCAGACTCCCTGACGAGCAGGGAGCCCGATGCGGGACTCGATCCAGGGACTCCAGGATCATGACCTGAGCCGAAGGCAGTCGCTTAACCAACTGAGCCACCCAGGCGCCCAGCAAAATGAATTCTTAAACTTTGAAATGAGTCACCAAGAAAAATAATGGAATTCTCTTCTCTGCGGCCGCTAAGAGAATGAAAGAGGGTGATGGAGACCAAATCATTTCCACGGGAATAGAAAATCACATTTTCCTGTTACGTATTGTGTTTATTTTAAAATTACTACTATAGAAATATCTAGAATATCTAGAATCAGGATGTAGTAGCACCTGTTCTTTTTCTCTGGATACCTTTCAAACAAAACAACTTTCTTATCTATGTCTTGTTTATGAAGTGGTTCACCTTCTCCTCCTCTAACAAAATGTTCAAAGTGTTCTACATTTCCTTTCCTACCTTTAGTAAAGTTCTAAGTTGTAACCGCTGATGTTGGCGGGCCAGGAGATAAAACCAAGTATTGCTCTTTCTCTTTAAAAACTTACCACATGGGCCGCCTGGGTGGCTCAGTTGTTAAGCGCCTGCCTTTGGCTCCAGTCATGATCCCAGAGTCCTGGGATCGAGCCCCACATCCGGCTCCCTGCTCAGCAGGGAGTCTGCTTCTCCCTCTAACCCTCCCCCCTCTCATGTGCTTTATCTCTCTCATTCTCTCTCTCTCAAATAATAAAATCTTAAAAAAAAGAATGAAAGATGAAAAAATAAGGAAGTGGAAGAAATAAAACTGTCATTTACACACATTATCATTGTCTGTACAGAAAATACAGAATGCCAATTTCAACAATTTGCATAGAATACAACTAGTTCAGGGCACCTGGGTGGCTTAGTCAGTTAAGCGTCTGCCTTCGGCTCAGGTCATGATCCCAAGGTCCTGGGATCGAGCCCTGCATCAGGCTCCCTGCTCCGTGGGAAGCCTGCTTCTTCCTCTCCCTCACTTGTGTTCCCTCTCTCACTGTGTCTCTCTCTGTCAAATAAATAAATAAAATCTTAAAAAAAAAAAAAAAAAAACTTACCACATATCTGTTAGGTTCTGTGACCTTCACTGAGGGGAAATGCTCCCGTATGATGAAGTCTAATAATGTCCTGGAGAGAAGAAAGAGAGAGCATCATCGTTCCTCAGTATCAAATCATCTAAATCTGCCCTTGACAACCAGGAAGCCATTAGATTCAAACTTAAAATTTTACAAATCAAAGTAAGATTTTACTCTCAAAACAGCCACAGAGAAATACTTCCTCAATACCAGTCAAAACTGGAAATGTGTTTCTAAGACAGTATTAGATTCCACCATGTTATACTACAAATAGAGATTAGTTCAGTAAATACCCAGCACACACCTATTATATGCCCCATCAGGTGCAAGTCCTGGGGGAAAGGATATGCCAAGACCCAGGCCCAGAGGACCCAAACCTCAAAGCACACAGAGCAGATCAGGGAGACGAACACAGGAAGAAATAATGACATTACAGTGTAACACATGCAATAACAGAACAATATAAAAGATACAAAGTTAACAGAGCAGGGAAGGATTATTTATGTCAGCAGAGTCACGTAAGACTTCTCAAATAGGGAGTGGCAAAAAATTGCCCAATGTTTGAAGTTAAAGTATTTAAGTTTTCTGTGTATCATATTTTTTATTCCCTATTTTAACTGACTTGTCAACTAACTATAGTGTTTAATGCACTGGATAAGAAAGAAACCAGAAGGGCGCCTGGGTGGCTCAGTTGGTTAAGCAACTGCCTTCGGCTCAGGTCATGATCCTGGAGTCCCTGGATTGAGTCCTGCATCGGGCTCCCTGCTCAACAGGGAGTCTGCTTCTCCCTCTGACCCTCCCCCTCTCATGCTCTCTCTCTCTCATTCTCGCTCTCAAATAAAAAATAAATAAAATCTTTAAAAAAAAAAAAAAAAAGGGGGCGCCTGGGTGGCTCAGTTGGTTAAGCGACTGCCTTCGGCTCAGGTCATGATCCTGGAGTCCCTGGATCGAGTCCCGCATCAGGCTCCCTGCTCGGCAGGGAGTCTGCTTCTCCCTCTGACCCTCCCCCCTCTCATGTGCTCTCTCTCATTCTCTCTCTCTCAAATAAATAAATAAAATCTTTAAAAAAAAAAAAAAAAAAGAAGAAGAAAGAAGCCAGAAAAAAATTGGGGTTGTAGATGTGACTTGGGAATTATTAAAAGCCAGTTAAAACAAAAGGAGTGGATTAGAGTTTGTGTATATATGTATTTTTCTAGTCATTTAATAATTTAATCATGTGAATAAGTGCTTATATGTCAAGAACTGTTGCAAGCATTTGGGAAACAAAAAGGAATATATACGTGGCTATGTGAGCCAATAGAGAGATTTTCAGGAGGAGGCGGTCACTAATATACACCAAATGCCAGAGAGCTAAGTGAACTATAACGGAAGTATTACCACCAGATGGAACAGTTTCAGTGACACCATGAATCCAAGCATTAGTGACCCAAAAAAACAAATGGGAAGTTAGAAATAATGCCCTGTGAGTGTAGACAACTCTTCTCAACAAGCAAGATGACCATGAGCTCAGCGAACATATGCTGAAGTGAGATGACTTCCCTACTCTGCTTACTCATTTCCCTCTTGTCTTCTCTCCCCGTATCCTTCACCGACTAGGTATCTGGACTTATTACACTGATAACTACAATACAACAGGATCCACAACCCAAATGATTCTAGTTTGTCTAAGAGAATCTATGTGACTTCTTACGACTTTTTAAAACTGTATTATCTTAACAAAGGGAAGCAAAATTCCTCTCAAAGGAGGAAATGTTTTTGCCTGAAGACACATCTCGTAAGTGGGCTTGAGGAAGATGGAGCTGTGTTAAGTAGAGACACTGCGGGCACCAAGACATCACAAAATGCTGGAAGCTGCACTGTGTGGTGCAAGAGTAAGAATTCGTTGCCTTCGCTCTTCTGAAGCCATCCTCTGTCCTCCCTGCAGAAAAGTCTTCAGTAAGATACACTCTGTCCTGAGATGCTTTGTGTAAACTTTGCCTGTTTGTTTGCTTTTGTCCTAGTGAAGGGGCTGAGTTTCTTTTTTTTTAAATTTTATTATGTTATGTTAGTCACTATACAATACATCATTGGTCTTTGATGTAGTGATCCACGATCCATTGTTTTCGTATAACACCCAGTGCTCCATGCAGTACGTGCCCTCCTTAATACCCATCACCATGCTAACCCATCCCCCACCCCCTCCCCTCTAGAACCCTGTTTGTTTCTCAGAGCCCATAGTCTCTCATGGTTCATCTCTCCCTCCAATTCCCACCCCCCTCATTTTTCCCTTCCTCCTCCTAGTGTCCTCCACGCTATTCCTTATGTTCCACAAATAAGTGAAACCATATGATAATTGACTTTCTCTGCTTGACTTATTTCACTTAGCATAATCTCCTCCAGTCCCATCCATGTTGATGCAAAAGTTGGGTATTCATCCTTTCTGATGGCTGAGTAATATTCCATTGTATATATGGACCACGTCTTCTTTATCCATTCATCTATTGAAGGGCATCTCGGCTCTTTCCACAGTTTGGCTATTGCGGACATTGCTGCTATGAACATTGGGGTGCATATGGCCCTTCTTTTCACTACATCTGTGTCTTTGGGGTAAATACCCAGGAGTGCAATTGCTGGGTCATAGGGTAGCTCTATTTTTAAATTTTTGAGGAAACTCCACACTGTTTTCCGAAGTGGCTGTACCAACTTGCATTCCCACCAACAGTGTAAGAGGGTTCCCCTTTCTCCACAACCTCTCCAACATTTGTTGTTTCTTTCCCTGTCCATTTTTGCCATTCTAACTGGTGTAAGGTGGTCTCTCAATGTGGTTTTGATTTGGATTTCCCTGATGGCTAATGATGATGAACATTTTTTCATGTGTCTGTTAGCCATTTGTATGTCTTCTTCAGAGAAGTATCTTTTCATATCTTCTGCCCACTTTTTGACTTGATTATTTGTTTTTTGGGTGTTGAGTTTGAGAAGTTCTTTATAGATCTTGGATACCAAGGGGCTGAGTTTCAAGTGTGGGTCAACCCAGAGTAAACCAGGCATCTCACATGTGTCAAAACTATATAGTCCAAGGAAGAAGAGACAGGAGAGAGAAGACACCCTGGGAATCCCAGAAGTTGGAAGGAGATCTTTGGGCCTCTGCAGGCTGCGGGTTGGGGGGGGGGGTGAAATACTTCCACCCAGGGCTCTGAATGGCACAGAGGCCCTCAGCTGCAACTGGGTTGCATACTAGATTAAAAATTCCTTGAGCAAAGGGTCTACTGGGTCTCACACTTCTTTTGGCCTCCTAGAAAACCCACACATAGCAAGTGTTAAAAATATTTATTAATTGAAATATTTGGTTTTACTTATAAGAAAACCAAAAATATTTTAACTTCACAACACTTATATAAGCATTTAATTGTCTTCAATCATTTAAAAAAAAGTCATTTTCTAACCTTAGTAAATCCAGTTCACCATAATGAGCCAAAATTTCCAATGATCCAATTCTAAACCATGATTTTGCAATACGCAGCACTACTGCACCTGAAAAACACATATTTTAGCACAAGTTATTTTAAACTGTGCAAATATAGCATAATATGCTTTTCTGAGAATTCAAATTATTTTAGTAAAAAAACAATACAGGAACCCAGTTTATCAGAAAAGCAACTAATTTATACTCTAGAAAGGATCGAGGATTTTTCTCTATTTCTTTAAGCCTTGAATCAGTTAGAGTATCAGGAACCACAACACTTTCAGAAATACCAAGGCTCCAACCTCATTAAAGGGCGCTCAGTTAAACTGTCAGGATCCAAACATGGGATTCCCACTGTCTCCTCTGTTGTGACCTTTTCCCTGTACCTCATCCTGAAATAGGGAATTAGTGAATGATTTCCATGGCATAGTCCCTGCCAGTGCCTTCTCTCAGTGTAACTAATCAAAAATCAACTTCAATAAATAAACGTTTGCATATGTTCTAACTTATGCATACACGAAACAAAGTGAATCTATACATTTTTGTGTTAGTGTTTGCAGCCTTCTGTTGCCGCCTTCTGTTTTGACTACAGGCATTAGTAATATAATTAGTAAAGAGAATTCATGTCTTTTTTTTCTCAAAAGGAATGCTGTACTTCCATGTGTCTGGATGTCAAGATGAAGTCTATCCCAGGCAACAAAGCCCCTGTTCTGTTGGTGCTGCTCTTCGACATAATCCCACACTCACTGCACCTCTGGGCCTCTGTACTATTCCCTGTGCCACGCACATGCACACTCCTTCTTCTCCCCCGACTGAAATCCTTCCTAACCTCAAAGATAAATAACCCTTAACTCCTTTAAGCATGAATACTCTAGGGGGATTGTTTTTTATGAAAATCTTGTCAAAACATATTAGGTGCTAAGTATAAAGAATATAATATGTGCACTTGGTGAATCACCATGAACATCAGTAAAAATGCTGCCCCGTCATACAGTGATGTCCAGAGGACCCAACAGAGCAGGTAGGGCTTTGCCTTCTAAACTGTTGAATAAGATTATTAGGGCGCCTGGCTGGCGTAGTCGGTAGAGCATGTGACTCTTGATCTCAGGGCAGTGAGTGCAAGCCCCACACTGGTGTAGAGCTTACTCAAAATCAATTAATCAATCAGTCAGTCAATCACTTATTATTGATTTTCAGGTCTCTTCTCTCCCCAGAGATTCAAGGTCAAGTTTCTCTCGCTGTTTCTCTTTGCTGCTCTGCAGCACACTTCTCACCCGTTCCTGATTTTTTTTATTTCTGGCCTACTAAAGGCTGAGGAAGAAGTTAACTGAACCGACTGGAAGCAAGCATGAAGTAAGAGCAGTCAGGCTCTGACGAAAGGTCCGAGGGTCTCTCCTCAGAAGAAAGAGCATGAACTTTCATGTCCTAGCTTTATAACATTTTGCTGGTCTGCAAAGATGTCCAGGATCTGTTATTCTTTAAGAACTCAGCCTAATTTTATGTAAATATTCTAAAAATTATCATTACCTCTTTCTTTCACAACGTTTCCATTGTAGAACTGATCTCTCCATACTTCATCATCACTCACAACCAGACTGAAACATAAGAGAATCCAACAATTAAACTTACATGTTAACTGCTAGCAAGCTACCAAGAAGTACCTAAAACCGTAAGAAACGGTGAGCAATCATGCTACCAGAGATTTATTGGCTCAATTTACCAACACATGCCTGCAGATAACATGATGCGGTCCTGAAAGTTAGCTTCAAGGAAAAAGGAATTACCTTGCAGCTCTGCTAGTTGGAATTCCAAGAGAGTGCATAGCCTCGCTGCATAAAAATTCTCTCACTGAGGAACGAAGTACAGCTCTGCCATCACCATTTCTAGGGCAAAACAAGAGCAAAAAGATTTTCAGTTGTAATGAAGACAATATCAATTTTTATTTAGATGACCAAAAAAATATCAAACTGTACCGGGAGTATGGAGTCTTTCCTGAGCCCTTTAATTGGAGCTCCCACTTTTCACCCTGCCTTCAACAACAACAAAGAAATCTAAGTATCAGAAGATCTGTGTTAATATTTAGCAGAAAACCTATTATACCGGAAAACATGTGGTACCTGTTCATGTAAATTCCAAGAAGATGGGCTCTTCCGTCCCCAAGCTGACCTGCCCATATCCCAAACTAAAGAGAAAAAGGAAAATTATTGATGCTTATTACCCTTTAAAGCTTTCATAGTAATTTTACAGCCAAAGTTATTTTGTCAAAATTGAGAAGAGGGTATTGCATTTTTAGGATTATAATAATCAACAACTTGAACAAAGGTGAAAATAAAATTCAATCAATAAGACATAAGTGAAATTCATTTTAAAAATATAAATTTGAGACATATAATTACATTCATCATCTTACAGCTGAGCTAAAGTCTGTTAGGTGTAGAATACTTAGAACTGATCTATTGATCTATTTAATTCCAGAATATGAACTAGGAACAACTTATTCATAGAAAGTTTGCCTATAGTATATGTATGCAATGTAAAATGAAGAACATACTTGTAACTGAAAAAAATTGCTTTTGAACTTACACAGTTAGCTGTTTCCAACATTTTCTGTTTGCAGTTGCCCAACTCCCAGTTATACCACTTACTGGCTATGGAAATTTGAATTACTTAATCCCACTGAGACTGATCTTTCATTTCTATAAAATGAGATAACCCTTGCCAGGTTGTTATAAGAATGAATGCTAACGGATGCTCTGTCCTATGTCCGACACATGCAAGAGCTCCTAAGATGGTAATAATTATTATTACCAACAGTGATTTGCTAACTTAGACATCATTCCATTTTCCACATGCATGTTACTTCCACCAGAAAGTTGTCTCTGACTTTCTGGGACTAGGAGTGTTCTGTGAATTCCCATAACTCCTATACTTAACCCTATCAGAATGCTGATGTTATTAGAATTCATTTCTTTATCCCCTCCCCTGGAGTATTAGCAATCTGAGCAAAGGGGACACGTTTCATTCACCACTATAGTTCCCGGCACATAAAAGGGGTTCTATAAATAGGTGTGGAATATTTAAACTATGTTTATAGTTCTGATAGAAAAACATGAATTTGAGAAAAATCTACCCAGTATTTTAATCTTTCATCTTAACCAGGAACAGATCACCATTAATTTTAGCTATATGATACCTCTAAGAGCACAAATCTAAAAGGTGCTCTTAGCATATTCTGGCAATTTCTAAAGTCAACAATACATAAGGTATATCCCACACCATGAAAAAGAAGTAGAAAGAATGGTAACTCCAGAGCTAGGAGTGAAGTCAGGGGAACTAAGAAGGTAGTTCTCTATTAATAAAGGAGAAATCATTTAGTGTTCAAAATGGCAAAGCCATCCTTATAAATAAATCTTTATAATTTCAAATCAGAGAGAAGCAAGAGATGAAACATGAAATCGATGAAAAAAATCTAATTTACTATACTATCAAGGGGTGCCTGGGTGGCTCAGTTGGTTAAGCGACTGCCTTCGGCTCAGGTCATGATCCTGGAGTCCCAGGATCGAGTCCCGCATCGGGCTCCCTGCTCAGCGGGGAGTCTGCTTCTCCCTCTGACCCTCCCCCCTCTCATGCTCTCTCTATCTCATTCTCTCTCTCAAATAAATAAATAAAATCTTTAAAAAAAAAAAAACCTACAAAAAAATACAGCTTAACAAAACTCTGCAGGGCTTAAGGTTTGCATTTGTATTCTAACAGTACATGTGAGTACTGGTACAAAATGCTATCTAATAAATTTAACCTATATGGGAAATGGCTTTTTGAACTATGGAATCCCTATATTTGGGAGCTAAAAAAAAACCCATAAGGATCATCTAGTCCAGAATTTTCAAAATTGAGAAACATAGTTCAGCAAAATGTTATTATTCCTTAAAAACAAAACACAACAAAACCCTATAGTCAAGTATGTTTGGAAAATGGGGTGTTAAATAAAATTAAGCAGATTTCTTTGCCACAGCCCTTCTCACAACTCCTGGAATGGACCTGGTCAACCTTTGCACCTTACGGATCAAGACACTGAGGTTCGAGTTTGTCATAGATGACCCCTGAAGTCTTTTTCCATCCTAATGGTCTATGTCACTTTGCTTCTCGGCTTACATTAGTTTAGCTTCCATGATAGTTTTGCCTCTTAGGACACTGAGGAATGAAAGCAACAAAAATCTAAAAGGAATTAACTGCCCCCAACAAACCAGAGCCTGATATTATCATTATTATAATAGCTATCATAGAAGCACTTTTCACTTTTCATATTTTCTAACCTAATCCTTACTCCAACCCTATTATACTTCTCTACTTTTCCTAAAATATACTCCGAATTAAGCCAGCCCCTGAACAACCAGACTGTTAATCTTACCTAGTTCACAGCAAGTTCAACAACTGGTCCTGTGTTCCTTCTCTTTCTCCTTTTTTTTTTTTTTAATTTAGTCAGATATCACGACCTGAACTTGCTTCAATATCTTAACTTCATTTCTAGAAGTCGCTTTCCTAATTGCTTCAGCATAAATAACACCCCCAGTTAATCCTGATTAAATTCTAGCAGTCTCTAGCAGTTCTAAAACTTCCTTCTGCAGCTATCCTGGCAAAACTATAATCTCTTTATCCTTCTGGGGCTTTTATATTGACTTTTTGTGCTACTTGACTTTGCCTACATCTCTTGCCTGAAACGTCCCTGAATTAGTTCTCTAGCAATAATTCACAGAAATATTATATTAGTGCTACCCCAGTTTTCTCGATTCTGTCAAAGAAAGTTGGGCATTAGCTTTATCACAGCAAGAAATCACATCAACCAACTATAAACATCTTATGATGACACATTCTTCTAGAAACATCTGTTGAAGTCTCCATACACTAATATTAGAGGAATTAATGCAAAATAACTTCATTAGTGGGACAGCCTCTCCACCAACTGTTTATATTTACGTAAGGGAAGTCATAGCTGATGCTATGATGCTATCATACCTGGTGCCCACCATATCTGTGAGCCAATGGAACGGATCCAAATACTATCTTTTCACCACTCGCAAGCTGGATAAAATCATCTGTTTCGGAGACAGATAAGTCAAGGTCCAAAATATCTTCTAGAACTTCCTGAGGCAGGAAAAAAACAAAAACAAAACAAAACAAAACAAAAAGACCTTACAAACTGAAGTAATCCTTTAATAATTTTTGAGAGAAGAGACTTGGTGGAAGAAAGAAAATTAAAAGAATGAACCTCTTCAAAAAGCACATTAATATTTTCTCATGAGGGATGTACCATAGTTTATATTATTTATGCTATTTGGGAAAATTAGTTCTATTAGATAGTTTTAAAATTTTTATTTAATTCTTGTGACGCAGAGTAAAATACTATTTTTCTTAGCACACATTCTTTAAAGGAACTAGAAAAAAGTTAATGTCCTATTTCTATCCCAAATCCAATTATATCATGAGAGAACAATTTATAATTTGTTAGAGCCCATTTCTAAGAATTTAACTCATTTGCCCCCTTTTTTCAAAAAGGGGTATTTTCTTTGTAAGATAACTTTAAGATCAAATGGAGTACTAGGTTCAGTATCAAAACTAGGAATCAGTATCAAAACGTGATTTCTAAGAATGACATTCTCCAAGTGTCTGAATTTTAAACACAAATATAATCATTTATCAATAGACTAACAATTCAACTCCAAAAAGTATGAATATCTTTTTTTAGACAAAAGTTATAATGAGTTAAGTATTTTTGTTGTGAAAAAATAAAGCCTAACCTTTGAAACTGCTACAAGACGTACTCTTGATTTGAAAGGAGTAGGGAAGGCAATTGAAAAAATACAGTTTTTCACTTTACGAACATAATTTTCTTTAACAGGATCAACTGGCAACACAGCTGATTAAAAAAAACAACAACAAAATCTCTTCTTAGTGTTTTCATTTGTCCCATAGACAACATTAACATTCCTTAGAAGGACTACAGTTCTTCGAGAAAATCAATTTATACCACTGTTTTCTTCCTACTTTGTTATTTAAAGCCTATTTTGTCATTTTCAACCATAGCTATCTAATATTCATATAATACAGTAAATGGAGCCACCCAAGAAGATGGGAGATGGAAAAAGTTTAAAACAAGATACATACCCTGTCTTTGAGGATTTTCACTTGTGGGAGACCAACAGGATGCACAATATGTTTATAAATAAGAATGTATAAATGAAGTAGAGGCGAGCAGCATTATAGTTTTAGAATTACAGTACTAGCCAATTCAGTGGAATCCAACCAAAAAATATTAAGCAGTTAATCACATTCTTTCTGCCCTTCAGAAAATCATAAGTACTAAAGGAAACAGATACATATAAAAAACTCTAATACCAGGCAACAGATGTTTTACTAAATGTACAAAACATGCGCTAAAGCACATGTACCTTATTTTAAAAGCTGCACGAAAAGAGTTCTGAACATGCTTTAGATACTCAGAACGTATTTTCTTTTAAGTACAATTTAAAAAATCTTAATCTGTTTTCCTAATCCAAACCAATTAAAACAAAAAACAAACAGAAGAGGGTAGGTGTATTACTAAAATCACAAAACAAGGGGACACAAAAACTTGTTTTTGGATAGAGATTATATTGTCAAGGTATCAGTGTAACCAAATTATTTAATAAACATATGGAAACCCAACCAACATCCTAGTAGGATTTTTTTGAAGAAATAGATCATCTTAGGGGCACCTGGGTGGCTCAGTTGGTTAAGGGTCTGCCTTCAGCTCAGGTCCTGGGGTCGGGCTCCCTGCTCAGTGGGGAGCCTGCTTCGCCCTCTCCCTCTGCTGCTCCCCTTGTTTGTGAGTTCTCTCTCTCTCAAATAAATAAAATTAAAAAAAAAAAAACTGATCAGCTTAAAGTGTAAATCTTGAAAAATAAAAACTAATGTTTTAGAAATGGGAGTTTTCTTATAAATTATAAGAACACTAACTAAAAATAGTTATCCCAAAAATAGATGCAAAGAACAAAGGGACTCAATAAAAAGAACAGAAGCAACCCAAAGTAATGTTAAGAATTCTCTATATAATGAAAATGATATTTTGAATCAGTAGAGAAAGGTGGCATCAAGATACTTTATCCAACTGTTCGGATTAACTTCTATTTATCTCACCCAAGCCTAGGTGAACCAAATGTCAGTTATAACAGAAATAAGAGTAATCTTCTATCTTTCCCAGATGAGTATAAAAACAGGCAAATGTGGACCAGATTTAACCTTTATAGTTTCCCCTAAATACATGGTACGTAAGGCACATTACGGGGAACAAATGGGTAGTCAGCCAAAAAACAGCTGATTGCAGCATTCACCACAGAAAACCTGACAATATGATTAAAAGTAGAAGATCCCACAGTGTATTTTCTTCTCTTTTAGGAGAGCCACTATGTGGAAATAGGCTAAATCATAATTTATGCACTTATCATGATGCCCTAACATTTTAGTAGAGCACGGACAGTATATACTGTTCACTAATACCCATGATTTTGTACTGACTGACTCACATTTTGGCAAGGTAGTTTATCAGCCAATACATTTAATCATTGGCTGTGGAACAAGAGGCCAACTGCTTCAGAGGTCCCCAGCCCTCACCCTCGTTACACTTTAACCAAATGATCAGCATAAACTACAAACCCAATCCAAGACAAAATTCCAGATGCATAGTAAGTCTTTATCTTAACATCTCCGAGAAATCAGTAATTCCAAAATTAAATTCTGTAGCATTCAGCTTTGCCTAAGAATATGAAATCCACAAAAACCGCTAATCTTTCAGTTTAATGATGTCTGAAACTCTTCTCTCAATAAACGTTCTTACCACAGTGACCTTGATAATTCATTGATCATTTATCTGATAACATCAGGATGAGACGTTTTCAGGCAGTAATAGGAATCAAGACATGGTATACACCTATACATAGTATCATATATATAATCTCTCCTTGGCTATAAAACCTGGTCCTACCATAGAGCCTGTTTCGAACAGTATCACTATGGAAAGAAACTGTCTTATTCAAGTACAGTCAACTCTCCAATATCGAAATAACAACTTTGAAAATGCTTTCAATTACACACTTACTCCATGTTTATCAGTCAATACTGGTTGTTTCATTCATATAAGTACAGTCAAAAAGACCCAAGTTGTTCCTAGCCTGTGCACAGAAGGGTCTGTTCTTTGGCAGTTAACTTGCACAGCTCAATGGTTTTAACTTCCTAGACACAGGCTTGGCCTCTTTGGGTCGAAAGAACTACTTTGTATTCTGCATGACCTATTGGTAGGTTATATAGCTCATCAAAAGTGTAGCTATACTATAATGTTGGAAACCTTCACAAATTTCATCTGCTTTCCCTACTTAGCCTTGCATATATGCCATCTTTTTAAGAGCTAGGTGTTTTGTTTTAATCAGGGAAAACTATCTCTAAATGAAAATGGCCTGGTAGAGCCATATCTGCCAACTGTGAGCTTGGCAAGACATATAAATCCTCCTGTGTCCCTATCTGTGTAAAGGGGCAAATGATAATATCTAAGTTGTAGGATTACTGTAAATACAAGTGTTTATTGCTACACTTTACTATGGCAAAGTCTAGCTGTGGCATATTTCTTAATATACAAACCTGTATCAAGCCACAGATATGTACTACCAACCTTTATTTGTAAAGCACCTGACATTTTTTTTTACATCATAGTCCTCAAGATTGGGGAAAAAATCCTAAACTTGGCTTATTTTAACAAACCTTATTCTATCCTTTTATTCAGTAAAAAACAACACTTGGAAGATAAGTATAGAAATCATGTGCTCAGCTATACCACGGGTACTTTCACTTTTTAAATGCAAAAAGCATGGTTCAAAAGAACACACAAAAATTTTAGAGAACTGCAGTTGCCTATTTGCTAGTCTATTTCCTCATAAAGGTGAATTTTTTGAGGACAGATGAAGTTTCTTTCATTTCTGTATCCCTAACGTCTACACTTTCTCTCCCTGGCTCTGTTTGCGTGCACCACAGATTTCTGTTATAAGTACGCTTTTTCATTACCATAAGAGTAGATCTGGCTATAGAACCAAGGAGAGGACTTTCTAACCCACGTCAGGGACTAATCCTGTACATATTCCAGTATCCCCAAGGCTGGCAAATATGTCCAACATTACCAAATACTAAACAATTTCACACAGCTAAGTACACCCACGAGTGGGACTCCCATCCAGGTATGAGCAAGACTGCCAAACTATGCCACGATGTACCTATAAGGTTTTCGGAGGACAGAGTCCAAAAGTCGAGAGACAAGGCTAATTTAGCTTCTGTCTCACAAGAGCCCAGCTCGTAGTGCGACACGTTACTGGAAAGATGCCAAAGGCGGGCACTTCCTTCCAGGCCAGGGAGCAGGGAGCAGCCGACAACGGCGTGGCAGGTCACGCCCAAGAGAAACAGCGGCCGACACGGGAGCCCCCGGGTTAGGCAGCAAAACAGGAGCCCAATTCTTTGAGTCATCTCTGACTAAACACGCACAACAGAAGAGCTGCCGACTGGAGGTCTGGGCGCCGTGGCCGTTCTTGTTACCGGCCGCTCTCCCAAAGGTCCTTTTTTGCAACGACCGCTGGAGCTCCTGGCTCCCCGGAGCGGCGGGCAGGGGCTCGGGTGAGACGGCTCGCCCAGACAGAAGGTCCCGCTTAGCCGCGCCCCGTACCGCAGCCGGCAGCGGGGCGACGGGCGGCTCCCGCGAGCTCGGGGCAGGCGAGGGGGCGAGGTTCCGCGCGGCCGTCCCGGGAGCGCGCCTGCGGCGCCAGCCCGGGGAGGAGCCAGAAGCGGCGGCCCGGGTGGGGCCCAAGCTCTTCCGGTGCCAAGTTTCCGGCTCCGGGTCCCGGGAGGCGGACCGCCGGGCCACAGGCGGAGCCAGCGCTCCGCCGCGGCTTTCGGACTCGGACCATGGCTTCAGGCAGGTGGCCCTGGCGGCGCTGCTGCTCCTGGAGGCCGGCGGCCCGGAGCCCCGGGCCCGGCTCCCCCGGCCGCGCGGGGCCGCCCGGGACGCCCTCGGCTGCAGACGCCGGCGCTCAGGTGAGGCCCCGAGGCGCGCGCGGCGGCCGGGCGCAGAGGTCACGGCGCCAATGACAGCGGCGCGGCGGGAATGAGTGGGAGCTAGCGGCACGTGCGTCGGGGCTGTGCTGCGGGGGGACCCCGGGCTGGCTGGGCGCCGGGACCCGAGCCCCGCCGGGGGACGTGGAGCGGTGGGCGCCGGGCGTCTGCCTGAAGCAGGGGCGCCCGGCGCGAGACTGCAGAACGTGGTCCCGGGGACCCGGGCGCCTCGGGGCTTGGGGAGGGAGCGGGGAGGAGCCAGGCCTTGGGGGAAGTCGGGGGGTGGGTGGAGTAGTCAGGCTGTCTCCTGGGGTAGGGAGCCAGTGAAACCTGGAGACCCGACTGCACCTGTTTCCTTTCGGATTTCAGCCAGGGCTTCAGGAGGACAGGTCTTAATTAGGATTTTAGAGCAAAAAGCGCCCTGAGATCCAGGTGGGCTCGGAATAGGCCGTTTGTGGGGAGTATGTAGGGCTAAGGCCCTGGGTGCAACGCATTTCTTTCGTACAGTAGTTGCTTCCCCGGGAGACCCCGCCCGGACGGGGTGGAAGGGCACTGGAAGAAAAGGCCTGAGGATGTCGCAAGTAGAGAAACCCTGAACTTGGATGTGGCTTCTTGAGTTGAGTCAGAATCTCAGCACTAACCGTGACTACTTGACTCTCTCCTCTACAGCTCTTGGGCCCGACCTCATTTTTCTCCCTTTCCGGCCAGTTTAGCCTCTGTAAAGTGACATGTTCTGTGGCTCCATGATTCCTAACTGCACTTTGTAGTGATTGACTCTCAAAGTGCTATAGGGTAGCACTGTTTGGGATAATTGAGCAAAATCTGTAGACTCACTGTCCTTTTTAGAGACTTCTCCAGTCACATAGCAATTATGATGTGTTCCCCTTTCATCCACAAGACTCAGGGGTTTTTTTGTTTTTTTTTTATTTAAAGTTTATTGAATTTGGACTCTTCTATTTCAGTTGGCTTTGGGACACTTCATATTCCCATGTATTCCTCAAACATCAGTTACCTATATGAAATATGTAGCATTTATAAATGTCTACTTTATACCAAGGTGGATACATTTCACAACTTATCCAGAACAGGCACCTGGAGAGAGAATAGCAGCAGGGCCAGCAAACAGCTAGTAAAAAGAGAATAGGGGCAAAGAGTCTCAGGGCTTTGCTGGGATCCATTTCAGTAGTGTTCTAACCAGACTTCCAATATTTCCAGCATCACAGATGAAGGCATTATTTGGAGAGATGTTTGCACCCTCCATCTAATAGCACTGGATACTTCTTTGACAATCCTTTTTTAAAATGTATTTAAATTCCAATATAGGGGCGCCTGGGTGGCTCAGTCGGCTAAGCGCTAAGCATCTGCCTTCTGCTCAGGTCGTGATACCAGAGTCCTGGGATTGAGCCCCACATCGGGCTCCTTGCTTGGCGGGAAGCCTGCTTCTCCCTCTGCTGCTCCCCCTGCTTGTGCTCGCTCACGCACGCTCTCTCCTCTCTCTCAAATAAATAAATAAAATCTTTAAAAAAATAAATACATTCCAGTATAATTAATGCACAGTATTATGTTAGTTTCAGGTGGGCAATATACTGATTTGACAATTCCATACATTGCTCATCAGGATAAGTGTACTCTTGATCCCCTTCACCTATTTTCCATGTCTGCTTTCGTGACCACAGGGTGGGACTGCACTGATGATGCCAATGCCATATATTGCTGATTCGTGTGTCATCGATATTTTCACCATAAATGAAGACATTAGCCTTCTGGTGTCTACCTCAGGCATGTGTCTTTGGTTACTTCAAGTCTCTTAGGGCGTGATAATCCTTGGGGACAAAGAGCAACAATGATAAAAGCCACGTCTGCCCTCAGACGCAGCTCTGTTTCCTGATATATGTGCATTCTCCCAACTTCACCTGTGGTAACATTAACAAATCCTGTAATAGGACAGAAACCGGTGTGCATCTGTTACTGCCAAATCACTTGTCAGTTTTTGATTCTTACTCAGCATTTTTTTTTTTTTTTTTAAGTAAATTCATGGGGGCGCCTGGGTGGTTCAGTCAGTTAAGCGTCTGCCTTTGGCTCAGGTCATGATCCCAGGATCCTGGGATCGAGTCCCACATCGGGCTCCCTGCTCCGCGGGAAGCCTGCTTCTCCCTCTCCCAATCCCCCTGCTTGTGTTCCCCTCTCGCTGTGTATCTTTCTGTCAAATAAATAAAATCTTTTAAAAAAATAAAAAATTAAAATAAATTCAATTTAATTTACATATAGTGTATTATTAGTTTCAGGGGTAGAATTTACTGGTTCATCAGTTGCATATAACACCCAGTGCTCATTACATTGAAGGGGCCTCCTTAATGCCCATCACCCAGACTTGACTTTTCTGAATTTGAAGTTCCCCAGCTGTATAAAAACAAGTAGTTTGTGAGGGTCAAATAGTGTAAAAGCATGTTGTAAGACTTTATTACAAATAGAGTGGATTTGTTTTATTTTTCTTGTGCTAAATTCATCCTTTTTGTCAAAATACTTTCTTCAGGGGCATCTGGGTGGCTCACTTGGTTGGCTGACTTTTGCTCACTTCATGATCCCAGGGTCCTGGGATCAAGTCCTCCAGCCCGAGGAGTCCCCCAGCCCCCATTGGGCTCTCTGCTCAGCAGGGACCTGCTTCTCCCTCTGCCTGCTCCCCCTGCATGTGCACTCTCTTGCATTCTCTCTCTCTTTCTCTGACAAATAAATAAAATCTTAAAAAAACAACAACAACAAAACCCTTCTTCAAATACAGAGCCCTTACCACATTAAATTAGTAAATCAGTAATTTTTTAAGTAACCTCTGTGCCCAAGGTTAGGCTCACACTCCTGACTCCTGAGATCTAGAGTCGCATGCTTCACGGACTGAGCCAGCCAGGGGCCCTGTAAATTAGTAATTTTTGAAATGACTGTGTCCCTGCATTCTTTAAGACTGGTGGTCTCCATCTTTGGGCCACAGTGCCTGTCACATTTCCTGGCCCATAGTAGTGCTCAATAATCTTTGGAACTAATAATTCTCTCCACCACCTCTGAATCTTTTAGTAATCTTCTGTTGTTCTTGATCTCTAATATTCTCAAAACGTGCCACTGAGCTTGCTTGTTTTTTAATATTACTGATCAAGAAGTAGCTTTTCCAAGTATGTTTAGGAAAAATAATTTAAAATAGGTAGTGTTCATGTATAAATGTAAATTCATTCTTCAACATTGAAATCTTTTTCCTTTTCACTGTCTGTTTTGATGCTTGGGGGAGCTTGATTACTCTTTGTTTTCAACTCGTTTAAGAATGTAAAAGAATGTAAATAACACTGATCTTTACTATTCTCTGACTAATCTTCGTTAAGTGGAAGGAAATTGTTTTAAAACTACCTTTCCAGGTCTGGAAAGCTAGATAGGAATATGGAAACTAGCCTTTGGAGAAAAGGATAGATTACAGATGTGTTTTTTTCCTTATATTTTCTCTTTTTAAAATTTTTTTAGATTTTATTTATTTGACAGAGCACAAGTAGAGTGGCAGGCAGAGGGAGAGGGAGAAGCAGGCCCCCCGCTGAGCAGGGAGCTGGATGCGGGACTCGATCCCAGGACCCTGGGATCATGACCTGAGCTGAAGGCAGACGCTTAACCAACTGAGCCACCCAGGCGCCCTTCCTTATATTTTCTGTAATGATAAATATTGCTTTTGTAATAAGGAAATTTTTTATTATCTTCCTGAAGTTTGCAATCTACCTACAAAGGGACAACTAAAAAATAAAGATTATAAAAAAATATAAAGATTATATTTATTATGAATTCTATGATTATTATGAATGTTTTTATTTATCTGGCATTATAAACACATTTTTCATGAATATTCTTACAGGTTTGTTAATACTTTTATTTTATAGATGTCCTATTTTAATCTTGTGAAGAGTTTAACATCTGCTTTTCCACATAGGTATAGTATGTCACGGTAAGTTTATGATCTGTGTTATAACTGCTAAAATTATAAGCCATATTGCCAGTAAATTTCTATTCTAAATTGTGCTGGGCTAGTCCAACAAACTGAATATTTTGGTTAACTAAGTGCCACAATATCTGCTCTGTGTGACCTCTGCCTTTTTAAAAAATGGGAATGTAATAAAATTTAAACCCAGAACACCGTAAACCAGTTTAGTCTTTGATTTTGTGGGTTCTCAAGGTCCTGGGTATAAAAATAAACTATTGCTGTATTGTTGAGCAAGAACAGAATTCTATGTGTTTTTCTAAATTATGACCATTTTGGATTCGTGCTTAATTTCCAGCAAGTAGAAGTGTATATAATTCTTACTAAAAAACAAAATTATCTCACTTAATAAAACTCACTTAACCTTGTGTGCATTTGTGCTTGTCCCAGGTTCCATCACACGACGTCGGCAGCGTGCTGTTGTAGCAAAACACAGAGTGGGGAGAAATACACTGACCCCTTCAAACTCGGTTGGAGAGACTTGAACGGTCTGTATGAGGACATTAGAAAGGTAAGCTAGGTTTGAATGTGCTGGGACATAATGTTGGTTTCTGAGAATTGTGAACAGACGGTGCAGGTTTTCAGATACATCCAGTGCCGTCGCAAACTTGATTCATGAGTGCCTGGGCGCCTGCTTGGTCGCCATTTACAAGCCTGCCTGCGCCCATCTGCACGCTGGTCTTTGTGTTCCCGGGAGAGCCACACTTTACCTCAGGGCCAGCACCTGTCCCACTGCGTTATCGCAGTTACTGTGTTCCTTCTCCCCATGCAGACGGAGCTCCTCGAAGGCAGGGACGGTTTTTTTTTTCTTTGTGACCTCTGTATTTATTACTGTGCTTGGCACTGAGGTCAATATTTTGGTGAGTTAAAGACTGGCCCCGCTGTAGCATGTTCACCTCAGCCTGGCTGAGGGTCCTCAAGGGCCGTTCTTAGCTCCCATTGCTTTGGGACATAAGCTGTGATTCATTCTAGCAAGTCCTTGAGAGGCACATACAACAAACACAAGTCCATCACCTAGAAGGCTCTCCCACCTCTTCATGAATCAAAATCCTACTTATTCTTTAATTCCAGGTCGAAGCTTCTATCCTCCATTAAATATTTGGTTTTCTAGCCCACAGTGATTTCTCCCTTCTCTGAACTTTCGCTGCATTTAATTTAATTTACTGCATTTAGGGGCGCCTTGGTGGCTCAGTCGGTTAAGCATGTGCCTTTGGCTCAGGTCATGATCCCAGGGTCCTGGAGTCGAGTCCCGCATCAGGCTCCCTGCTCAGCGGGGAGCCTGCTTCTCCCTCTCTCTGTCTCTCTCAAATAAATAAAAAAATAATCTTAAAAAAAAATTTACTGCATTTAATTATGTCATTGCTCAAGTTACCACTCTGAACATTTTATATTTTTAAAAAATTTATCTCCCCAACTCAGTTCTAAGTTCCTCACAATCAGGCAAACCATGTCTTCAACTTCCTCTGTGAACTTTTGACATATCTGGCTGAGCCAGGCTTAGTGATCCCTGCTTCCTCCCGGCCGCCATCTTCCCTTCCTGTTCCTGATACATGGCTTTGCCTCCATACCCCAGTCACACCCTTAACTCCTGCTTCATTGGCTCCCACACTCCCCATCTTTGTCCTCTCCCCTCCATCTCCCAAGCGGCTACCAGCCCCTGTTCCTCTCTGGTCCCTGGGCCACCGACTGCTTTCGTCCTCCTCCCTGGAGTCTGTTGGAGTCTTTGGGGTCACCCTAGCCCTTTGGCCACTTGGGCGGGCCAGACATCGCCTGTGGCCCAGCTAGTAGGGCAGCCTTACAGTGTTGGAACCTTTTCCAATCGAGTGTTGAATTTCTCAAGTGAAATGAGTGTACAGAGTACAAGCAACTACACTGAAATCAAATCAAAGTTTTGTAAAAGAAATCCTGTTGCCTTTTTTGCTATCATGATGCCATATTGACACAGAGAAACTTTATTTCAGGAACTACTCATATCTACAACCGAACTTAAGGAAATGTCTGAATACTACTTTGATGGAAAAGGAAAAGCCTTTCGACCAATTATCGTGGTGCTAATGGCCCGGGCGTGTAATATTCATCATAATAATTCCCGGTGAGTTATTTACTTTCACTCCTCTGTCGTTTTGATATTTGGCAGATCTTCCTTACCAAGCGTGCCATTTAGTTCCTGGATGAAGCGGTAGCATTTATCTTAGAATTCACTTTGTGGTGAGTAGTTTCTGGCTTTGAGTCCCCAAAGTCACCTGGTCTGGGCATCTTCCCTTTCCACACTTTTTAATGTCCTAGAAGAACAACCTCAGCTGCAAATAACCATTTTGAAAAGAATTTTAAAAGCCAAAGTTCGTTTTCTCCCTCAGAAGTAAGAGCAGGGTGTGTACATACATGTAATCATGATATACACGGGGCCGTTAGTCCAAAGGTTAATCGTTACAAGGTTCCGAGCTGCATGCCGTGCTGTGAGGGTCTGCCTTCCTGTGACCTTCGGAAATTTGCCAAAGAAAAATCTTCGGAGTAGAAGGCAATTTTGACTGTTGGTCCTCAACTTCCGTGTTTTGAATACGTATAAAATTTTTAAATATTAAAACAACTGTATTAAAGGAAATCTTACAAAAAAAGATTGACCCTTTACCTTATGCAGCCATCTCTGCCGCTCCCTCTCATCCTCTCTTCTTGTTTTCAGTCATTCTATATGTATCTGTGATTCTTTACTCACCCCTGTTTTCTCTCTTGCCCACGTTGCTAGACTGTCTTCATAGCTGTTGTTTTTACGTGGTCTGATCTGCTGAGGGAAGTTCCAGTCCACCATAATGTGGACTACGTCTCCCTAGTGCGGACCGTTTGCATCATGTTCCCTCTTCTTAGGGGAGCACGCTTCTAGGAATGCCTCAGGGAGTGTCAGAGGTTGCCTCTTAGCAGGTGCTCCCCTCAGCCTTTTCTGCCCTGCTGCTGTGCCCCCTGCCCCAGCACGTCCCACCGCCTCAGGGTGCCTCCCCCCCCGACCCCTGCCAAGACCCACCAAGTGCTCACAGTGCTCACACTTGGAACAACCAGTGGGATCTCTGGCCGTGGACCATCCTCGGGACCACGTCCACTTCACCTGGGAGGCAGAACAGCAGAAATGAGCCAAATTTGAGATACATCTCACATGATCTAGAGCAGGGTTCTCAGCCTTGACGTTTGGGGCCAGATAATTCTTTGTGTGGGGGCTGTCCTGTGTATCACAGATGCTCTGCAGCGTCTCTGGCCTCTGCCCACCAGATGCCAGTAGCACCCCCCGCCCCACCCCCGCCAAGTTGATGACAACCAAAAATGTCTCCAGACATTGCCAGATGTCCCCTGTGGAGCAAAATCATCCCTGGTTGAGAACCACTGGTCTAGAGAGAGTGTGTGTTTATATTTTTAATTTCTCAGATTAATGTGTAATACAGTTCATTACCATCAGAGGTGACATGGGAAGGAAAATATCCTGCATTGCTTTAAATCCTCTCCATTGTTATCCCTATGGTTGCAGGTTTTTTCAGTTTGCCTTGCTGAAACTGTATAAACTTGGTTGCAGAAAACATGGGAGAATATAACACAACAAAGGCATTGCTAGTTTAAAAAGTAAGTTCAGGGGCACCTGGGTGGCTCAGTCAGTTGAGCGTCCAGCTCTTGATTTTGGCTCAGGTCATGATCTCAGGTCACAGGATCGAGCCCATCAGGCTCTGCGCTCAGCGGGGAGTCTGCTTCAGATTCTCTCTCTCCCTCTCCATCTGCACCTCCCCTGCTCGCTCTCCCCCTCTCTCAAATAAATAAATAAAGCTTAAAAAAAAAAAAAGTGTGTTCAAGGGCGCCTGACTGGCTCAGTCAGTAGAGCATGTGACTCTTGATTTTGGGGTTGTGAGTTCGAGCCCCATGTTGGGGTAGAATTTACTTGAATAAAATGAAAAGTAAGCTGAACACTGCCCTCTCCGGGATCTTTTAGCTGCGGCCTCATTCTCCTGGAAGTGATGGGAGCAGGGCTCGGCAAAGGCATGGTGCAGAGGCAGAATTGCGATGGTGGTGTGCATTTGAGTGGAGGAGTATCCCACAGTACCACTCTCCAAGCCCCCGCTGCTTGAGAATACTTGCTTCCTAAGAGCCCTTTTGAATCAGGCTCTTAATTGGCTAAATATCTAGCTGTTACTTCCGTGCCTCTTAAAGCAAGAAGGGACATGGGGACAGGGCAGGGGGAGCTTCTGGAGACCTGGGCCATTTCTGGTTTTGCTTGCTGAGAAAGACTTAGAACAGTATGGACAAAAAGGAGCTATAGATTCTGGGGCGGGACCCCACAGAGCCTCTGGTTCTAGCCATGCCACCAGAGGTATCCCCCAGCCCTGGGGGCGCCAGAACCCATTCCAGTCCTTCATCTGCCTGCTCGCTGGTGATAGTCAAATTGAGAGATCCCTGCTTTATCGTCTGACAGTCAAAGTTTAACAGCTTCTGTGTGGCTTATCGGACATCATCTTCTTGTTTATGAAATGTCTATTACATAGGTCAATAATAATCCTAGAGGGGATTTTGGAAAACCGAATAGGACAGACACCTAAGAAATAGCGAGGGGGGAAACTAACTTTTATTGATTTTCCTTTTTTCCTCAGTAAACTTTTCAGTGGTCCATTAAATATTCCTTGCCAGATTGCTAGGACTTCTTAACCCAAGGTCCATGACAATTATGGGGTCTGTGAGTCCCTTAGAATTGTATGCGGAAATTTTTGTATATTTGCATTTTTCTGGGGAAGGATATCAGAAGCTCATAATATATTCTCCAAAGGCAGTATGGCCCCGAAGAGCTTAAGACTCAATCTTTATATTTCCTGTCTGTATCCTGATGACACAGTACCTGGGCAGGTAAAGTAGGAACGCACAAACAAAAAGACTCAGACTTGAAAGGTCCAGAAAACAGCTGTAGTGGTTCTGAAATGTGCTGCCTAGATCCTCCTGCGGTGAAGGACTCAGTGCTGGACCAGGTCTCGTTGGCAGAGAACCTTCAGTTATCAGCCTCTTCAAGGATTGCGTCCGCTGCAGCAAATCCTTTCACCAGAGCCGGCCCACATGGGGGCACTGAGAGATGAAGGGCCATTCTGGCTCCAGCGCATGCTGTGGATGGGCCTGCATCACAGAAACTTCTCCCTCTACCCAGTCCTGTTTCCTTCTCTCCCTCACATGGCTCTTGATCCCAAGGACACTCCCGAGACAGACACTTTAAACTTCAGAGTCTGCTTCCCAGAGAACCCAGCGTGCACCAGTGTTCAGCAAACTAACTGTAGGGCAGGACTGACTTTATCAAAGAATCGACATCAAAAATGAGCTTTAGATAAATAGATGTCTGTAAAATCGCTCTCCTCGCTGAACGCAGCACAGCTGTAGGGTCTGATCTTTCTCAAACAAGCCAAACCCCTGCTCAGCAGCCCTATCAAAAGGACCTCCTCTTGTCCTCTATCTTGGCCCCAGTCGTTCCTTTGTGGAAGTCTTCCAGCTCTGGAGGCGGCTATCGCTGTCAATGATTGGGGTAACAGGATTGCTCACGTTGTATTGGTCTTGATTATGCAAGTCGCCAAGTGGCACTGAATCCCACTGGTCCGGTTACCAGAACCAGACGTTTGATCCGATGGCACAGATTTTAAGATGCCATTTTCATATTAGTGACGATATCAAGTGTCCCAGTGTGATAAAAATCCTACATGCAGAGGAGGTGACTTTTATGATTCTAATACAGACAAAGGAAATAACAAAAGCCTACCCTGGGAAAAAGGTAACGAAATAGGCATTACAGCACCATCTCACTTCAGTGATTCTTGAGATGAGGCCATTCATGAATGTGGAGCCATTCTTGGTTTCTGTGTGTTCCAGATCACTGAGCCAGCCACTACCGTAGCAATTTATGGGGAAGTTGGTGCCCAAAGAAACGTTTTAGCTTTTAACCTAGGAGATGGCCCCTTTGATGTATCTGTACTCATTGCTGAAATGGATCTTGAGGGCAGCAGGGGGCACGCATCAGGCTCTGCTGGGCCAGCTGCGCCCCTTCTGCGGCTAGAGGGAAAGTGGAGCGAGAACTGGAGCCCGAGGGACAGCCCTAACCCCTCTGACTGAGGTCCTGCTGCTCTCACTGCCAGGAGCCTCCTTCTCCGGACCTGGCGCATTCTAGCGTCCCAGTGGCCTGGGCCCTGTGAGTGGAATGGTCGCCGGGGTCCAGGACGTCGCATTTCCCCATGCCCAGTGGAGGGAACTGGGGAGCCTTGAAGGTCCCCGCTCCCCCTGCTAGGGATGCAGAAAACCCCCGATTGGTGAGGAGCAGCTGTATTCACTGGCTAGTAGAGCTAAGTACCTGGGATCACCAACGTAGAGCACTGTGCTACCCCGAGCTGGGCAGGCATGCAGTACCGATACGTCTGTGTCTACTGCTGGTCCCGTAAATACCTCAGACCCTGGTGAGACCACAGCCATTGCTTTTAAAGTTGTTAAACTCTGCCCTTGCGCAAAAAGACACTTAGACTATGAAAGCAGACTCCTTGGGCATCCACAGATCCAGGGTTAAGCACTGCACTAGAGATACGTGCTACGCCATACTGATCCTCCTGGGACAGAAGTTCTGTTTTCTCTTCGGCCAGTCTAACTACATGATTACATGATGAGAAGCAACAGCATATTGTGTGTGGCCCCAAGGATCTTGCAGGGGACTTGTTTGGAGTGCCAGGCTGCTCTGTGAAAGAGCACAGGAAAATAGATACAGGGTTCTACAGAAACTTGGTAGTGGACAGTCAGCATGAACCATCCAATTCAGGCACATGTGTGAGTGAAAATAGGTGTCACCTGGAAGGTGGGAGTGATCAAAAAGACCCTGGCAAGAGCTACAGGAAGAGAAACCTTCACCTTCAGATTTGGTGCCTCCACCACGCACCTCTTCCAGAAGGAGAGCAGGGAGTGAGGCAGAAGAACATCAGATGAATCACCTGGTGAATGACAGAACGTCATAGATCTGATAGTATTTCTCTTTCTTTCCTTTGATGAAAACCTTGCTCTGTGTGTAACAAGGGAAGTACCTTGTGAAAGAAGCAATAGCAGTGAATCAAC